CTTTCCCGGCTGCCTCCAAGGCTCCTCATTCTTGCTCCCCTCAGATCCTGATTAAATGGCACATCCTCTCTAATGCCCAAGAAGACAGCTGCTTCTCCTTCCCACTAGGCCTTCTTTCTCTAACCGCATCTTTGACCACTGGGATGCTGCTTCTTCTGAGGCCCCCGGAGGCCACTTGGGTGAGGCAGGGAGGGGGAAAGGGAGCAGACAACAGTGTTTAATCTTCTTTTACAGAGCTTGGTAGTTTCACGTGGAACTCTGGTGTCATTCCCAATTCCCCTATCTCTCCCCCACCTCATTTCTTTCTGAGTTGAGTGCTTGGAATTACCGGGGAAACCCCCATGGATTCAGAAGGGCAAGGCAGAGGGGCTCTGAGCCAGTATGTGAAAACACTAGTTGGCCCAGGCCTCAAGCACAAGCCAATCCCTTCTATTCCTCTATGTCTTGGCTCAGTTACATGTACAACTGGGAGAGAAACAGCAATTGGTTTATGTAAGCTAAAGCATATCATGGCTGACTATAGCTACTAACTGAAATCCACTGATTAATTCACTCATTGAAAAAGAATAAGGCCCTACTATATGTCCAGTATTGTGCTTCCTGGACATTTGAGGATCATATAATTGAATGTAGAATAGTTTATCCTTCAGGAAAGACTAGATAGAATTTGATAGGAAAAAGTGATATAACACAACAGTGCCCAAACAAGTAGACAAGATCATTAGTGCTACAAAAATGATCATCTTTTGTGTGTGTGTGCGTGTGTGTGTGTGTGCATGTGTGTATTGTGTGTGTGCTGTGTGTGTGTGTTGTGTGCACATAGGTGGCTTAGTATACATCTGATGTTAGTACACTGGGCTCAGCACTTATCCAAACTATGGTCATGTGGTCCTGAGCCCAGTTACCATTTAATGTCTATTCCTCTTGTAGAATTCAATCTCCATGAAAATCGAATTTTAAAAATGCTATTATTTAGAATCATGTTAATGGATAAAAATATTTCAGTTATCTAACACTATTTAAACCAATTAAATTCCTTTATCCATTTTCTATGCAATTAAATCAAACAATTTCCTTTAAAAATACTTTACTTTTACTTTTCTAAAGTCATTTGCATTAGGATCAATTTTAAAGTGTTTGGCTCACAACAGCTTTTCATGCATATCAAATTTTATTGATCATAGCCTTTGCCATTATGGTTTTTATGGCTATTTTATCTCCCAAATTCAATTTTCCCAAGTTAAATTAGTAGACAGAAAAGATAAACTAAAATTGCTTAATGTTTAATTCATTCTTTGAGAATTTCATATATGTATACAATGTATTTTGATCATACCAACCCTCACCCCCCTCATCTCCTCCCAGAATACTCCTATCACATCCCCCTTCCAGCTTCATGCCCCCTTTTGATAATCCACTGAGTTCAATCAGTGTTGTCCTTATGTGTATAGATATGGGGTATATATATATGCAATGTACTTTGATCTTACCTGCCCCCCACCTCTTACTCCCCTCCTCTAACTGTCCCCAGGTATCCCCCAACACATGATAAAGTAAATTTTAATTGTGGGCCATTTTAGATCATGCCTGAATTAATTTTGTAACATGTTGCCGTAGTTCACATGAATTTCTTTCCATCTATCTATCATCTATGTACTTTATGTATGTATCTATGTATCGATGAAAGCAACAAGTGGATATAGTTTTCAATTGTTCTTAAATCATAATACCCTGGAACTCCTGACTTGAGGAACTCTGGAGGGCTTAGGGTTAGTCTCAGGTACCAGCAGAGGGAGGATCCTTATGAATGGAAACAGATAAATGGAAGAGGCTGTAGACCTTAGCAGTGGGTACCAGCACAACCTTCTAAAAGGCCAATGCCATCAGGAACACGTACTTCAGATCTAGGGACAAGGCCCTCCTCCTTTTCCTGTTTCTCCCTTCTCATGAGACCAGAGGACTGAGAATGGATATGAATCTAGCTTCCTATCCACATGAAGAGACTTGGACTACCTACCTTAGCTTTCTCCTACTTCCACTGTTCTGAACATGCACTGCCCCTACTAGCAACAGCATCATCTGAGAATTCACCAGGAATGCAAAATTTTGGGCCCCTTCTCAGGTGTATACAGTCAGAAACACTGGGGAGAGGACCCAGCAATCTGTATTTTAACAAGCTTTCCAGGTGATTCTGATGCACACTAAAATTTAAGACCACAGATGTACTCAGGTATCTTGGACGTGAAAAAGGACAGGAAGAAGATAAGAGTGAACATTTACCTAAAAGAGATAAAAGACCAAAATTATCTTCAAGCAAGATCAAGTCTCCCATGATGCCTGCTCTCATGTCCTCCAGATAACCAGAATTCATAAGAAATTTTAATTCACTTGCAAACAGAAAAATTTGTAACTTTGCCTATTTAAATTGCAGCAGGTAAATCTTTTATCTCCTCACTATAATTTCCCATTAATATCTATTAGGAATTGGTTACAAGTTTATCTTGGGTCATTCTCAAGGTGTTGGCAAAAGTGGTTCAGGATTGGTCCATGTCATAACCAAGTCTACTCTTCAGTAGGATGTTGGGTACCATGCCAGACACAAACAAATGAGTAGCCCACAGGTTCTTGGGCTCCGTGTGGCAGGCTGAAAATGCTGTGTTTGGGGGAAGTTTCCTTTTTTCCTGTGATGTCTTAAGACTGTTTCATAGCACACTGTTCTTTGTAATTACACACACACACACACACACACACACACACACACACACAGATAAATGAATGAGAACACATTTGGATTCTGACAGCTTGGGAATGTCTCATGGAAAAGGTGACATGAGCTTAACTTGAAAAATAGGCAAAAAGAAATGATGAGGAAGACATGTTAAGCAAAAGTTCACATCATGGGCTGAGCAAAAGCTTGCAGGAGGTCTAAATGTAGTTTGGAATTGTTTTAAGTCCATCTGCTATAACAAAATGCTAAAACCTGGATGGTTTATAAACATAATTTCTTACAGGTTGGGAAGCTGGGAAGTCCAAGAATAAGATGCCAGAATAAGGGCTTGTATTCTGATTCATACAGTGCCATCTTGCTATGTCTCACATGGTAGAAAGGGTGAACAAGCTTTCTTGAGCCTTTTTACAAGGGCACTGATCCCATCCACAAGGGCTCCACCATCATAACCTCATGATCTCCCAAAGGCTACAGGTTCTAATACCATCACCTTGGGGGCTAAGGTTTTGATATATGAATTGGGAGTGGGGGGACACATTGAGAGCACAGCACTGAACAAATGGCACAGGGGCAAAAATATCCGTGGGGTGGTCATGATGACCACTACAATTGTTCCAGAATATAGTTAAATGAGTTAGTAAATAAAGATCCTTAGATATATTTCTTTACTGTGCTAGAGTGGGCAAACCATGGAGGACAGGAGACACCATTGAGTGAGGAATAGAAAACAAAGTATGGCAAGTACTTTTATAAGTGAAATATAGGGGCATGTGTGGGTCACCTGACTGGGATTGTGGGGAAAGTGGGTCTAAACAGTTTTCCAGGTGAACAAAGAAATGAGAGCCACTGAGAAGGGCAGAAGGGGTGTGAAGAGATGGATGGGCTACCCTGAACCCGCTTATAAAGGGTCTCTTAATCCGCATTCAAGGGTGAGCTTTAGCTAGAGCTGTGAGAGGAGTCCTCAGGTTTTAAAGAGGGAGAAAGAAGAACACACTGGTTTCAACAACCTCACTCTAGTGGCAGTGGTGAGGATAGCTGAAACTGTCCTTATGGTGGTGGCCTTAATTAGCAAACAGTACTGAGAAAGGAGAAAAGTTCTGAGAGCTTGTTGGGAAGTCTGTGGCAGTTTAAAACATGTCCATAATCTCACCAACACTCTTCAGACTGAACGGCAGGGCATATGCTCCCTCCTCTTCAATCTGGGTAGACATGACTTCAGTGAATGCGGTGTTCTATGACTCCAGAGACAGGCGACACAGGTACAACAGCTTCTTCCTGGTTTTCTTGGGCTGCTCCCTCCTAGAACCTGGTCTCCGTGCTGTGAAGAAGCCATGCGTAGACTGTTCTGAACCCTGCTGTGGTTCAAGCATCAGTTGCTAGAAATATTAAGTGAAGACTAGGATTCCAGTCCCAGCCATAACTTAATGACGACGCTACCTGCATGAGACTCGAGAATTGCCTGGCTGGACCAGTACATTATGAAGAACAGTAAAACGGTACTCTAAGCCACTAAGTTTTACAGTGGTTTGGCACGTTGACAGATACATGGAACATTATCCCTAACACCACCCAATTAAGGAGCTATCTTTTTGTTTCTTTCTCATACCTTCACTGTTCACTATCCTGATGTCTAGGTTCTAAAATAGAAGAAATCCAAAAGAAGTACAATCAGTCCACAGAGAAACCCAATAAGAATTGGAGTACATTGTTCTGTCTAAGCAAGTATTTTTATTAATAAAATAATAGATGTTTTAGGAAACTTACTGATTACAAGCAAACATTCTTTTTAATTAACAGCTTTTTAGGAAATGCCCACCTATACTGAATCCCTTTTTTAATTTTTAAAAAATATTTTATTAATTACTTTTTATTTTATGTATATGAGTGTATTGCCTGCATGTGTGTTAAGTGTACCTGTGTCGTGTGGTGCCCACAGAGGTCAGAAGGCAGCAATGGACTCTGGAACTGGAGTTAAGGACGGTTGCTAGCCACCATGTGGGTGCTGTGAATCAAACCCTGGTCCTCTCCAACAGCAGCCAGTGCTAATCATCTCTCCAGCCCCTGAATACCTTTTTATAAAAAATGGTTTTATAACTTTGGAGTCACCTATTATTTTGAGGTGAACATAATGCATGTTAGTTACCTCAGTACTAAGATTTCAGAACGGTGGGATGACTGGGTAAATAAATGGTGGAGCAGTCTTCTCAGGAGGGCAGGGATTGGAAAGTTGATATTTTGTTGCTCATAAAATGGTCTGGGTTTTTTGTGTTTCTTTTTTGCTTTTTTGTTAATGAACGGTTGGTACCTAACACATGGCATTATAGTCACTTATGTGAGAAGACACAAGGTGGTGGGGGGGGGGACAGGAAGCATGCTCTATTCTCTAAGGCTCTGAAGGCAGAAAATACTTTTTGTTTATAAAACACTGGACAGACATAGAAGCCATTAAGCTTCTATGAAGACAGACGTTCCATTACTTTAAATGAGACTGTCTAATGTTTCATGGAGCACAAGCAAAATTCTTCTGGTATTTCTGAGAACTCATCTGTTCACGTAACTCTTCAACTAGGTGGGAACATTCTAAATGCCACCTAAGGTGGTAACGATAGTTAATTTGACATAACACTTACTATGTGCTGGGCACTGTCTGCCTGCTTCACACTATCAGTTCACTCTCACTCTGAGCCATTAGCCCCCTTTACAACTGAACAAACTGACTAGGAGTCTACAGTCACCCAGGAAGCCACGGCAGTCCTTAGTGCTCTGGAAATCTCTTTTGCCTCAAAAAGAACTTCTTTTGCCTCAGAAGAGATACAAGTGGGACAATGCAGACCAGGAATCTAAACTTTAGAATAGCTCCACCCCAAATTAGCCATGCCAGTGTGAACAAGCCATTTCCTCAACCTGAGAGATGAGCAAGTTAGGATACTTGGGGAGATTTTCCAACTTTAAATTTCTGATTCTATGGAGAATTTCTACCTCAGAAATCAATAAAGGGAACAGCCTTTATTTTGGAAGAGGCAGTGAAGAACAAGTCTCAGCATGCTTGGCTTCTGCTGCTGGGCTCAACATCCCTCGGTGCCTTCAGAAACAAAGAACAAGATGGGCTCCTGTGGGTCTTCCACATGTTTGTGACGAGACACGCAAAATTTGCTGGATGCTGGATTTCAAACTGTCACAGAAGCTTGACCTGCTGTCATGACACATCTTTACAACAATCATGATAATAAAAATAAAAAACTAAGCATTACATGGTTTTTATTGGTATTTATGGCTTGTCCAAGATCAAAGCATTAATCATTTAAATTTGACATATCCATTTTGAAAGCTAAATTCTAGTTTTGTTTATATGTTACATAATAGAAAGTGAACACAATTTCAAAATTTTATCCAGATGCCTTTTAACTTTATTTTGGAGAAAATTTAGCTTTACTGAACTTCGAATGAAAATTTCAAGCTATCCAAGGACACAGACGCACTGTTCTGCAGATGGAAAAATGATGGCAGAGAAATGAGAAAAATCCTTGGTCATTTCCAAGCATGGTAGGCTAGGGTTTCAGATCCTGAATTTAGTGGGGGCATAACTTGCAAGGCGTTGCTATTCCTCTGAAAGGCCAGTCAGTCAAGGCTGATCACACTTACATGGAAATTCCTTCCCACTAGTACTTACTGGGTTCCACTCTGGTGCTGAGCTGTACTGGAGATCATGACATGGGAAGCCGCCTTTCTGAGGGAACAGTGCTTTCCCTCTTTAGTTCTTCACAGTGGCATATCTTAACCTCTCTGATCAGTAAGTTACCACTCAGTGAACTTGGGACTTGAGGAGGAGACCGAGTGCTAGCCACTGAAGTAAGATACCCAGCATCTTAGAGGAGCCAGTAATTCACTTGAAGCAGGTAACTTGCAGCAGATTCTCTAGACATACAGATGGCTGAAAATAGTTACTCAGACATCAGGCACTGGCTGAGAGACTGTAAGGTCCGATGGCTGACTGTCTTCTTCCTCAACAGCAGTGTGTTAGATTTCCTGTCCCTGGGGACTTGGCAGAGCAGAGTATCCAAACTGTAAGAGGTGACTTGGCCATTTATGTGCAGCTTTCCATAGATCTCATCAAATCTGGCCAAAAGGGTAGGGCAGTCCTTCACTTTTTCCCTCACTTTGGTCAGCTGGAAAAAGAGAAGATTGTTATATCTCTACATGATTTCTTCCCCTTCTCTAAGAAGTAGAAACAGACATGTAGACATGTATAGCCTTCCCATAAAGAGATGAACACCAGGGCACACAGATGCATAACTGTAAGAGATTCTGCAAGCTGTACATGAAGTTCAGAACTAGTATTTGAAAATCATACCATTACTTCATAAAAGCGAATTCAAATGGCATAGTACATAGTGCACCATAACTGGGAGAGGTCAAATACCAACAGCCAATAAAGCAAGGATGAGAGTGGGAAATGGGTTAAATTATACAGGGCTTTATAGACAGACCAGAATAGTTTTTTTGTTGTTGTTTTTTTTTTTTTTTTCAAATTTTTATTTACCCTAAAAGCCAGAGGGCAGGAAGAGGCCTATGATCTGATTTCAGTTTTACAAACTACATAAAATGGGGGGAAGAGGAATGTGAAGATGATTCCAGAGCCCTCATCATGGCCCAGAGGAGAAAAAAAAAGTGATTTAGACTGGGAAATACACAGAGAAGACAGAGAGGTTAACGTCTGTGAGGCATGCTTTGGAAGTTAGAAGGGAACGACTCGCTGCTGAGGAGATGAAGAAAAGGAGTCAGTTACCTTCCCAATCTGGGATCTAGGAACTTGATGAGGGACACTGTTATTTACTGAGATGGGGAAGAGAGGCCAGATTTGGAGGGAGAATCCAAGGCTCTGAAACATCTGTGAAACATGTAAGTAGACATGCTGAGGAGGCTGTTGGACATACAGGTCTGGGATACAGAGCAAAGGTTGCAACCAGAGGTATAAACGGTAGTCACAAGTATGTGATAGTAATTCTACAAATGTGAACCAGCTCAAATTAGAATGTGAAGATAATCTCTGAACAAAGTGAACAATTTTCTTAGTTCAATTCTAATTAAAAATTTAACCTTAACAACATTTCAGTGAAATTTAAGTGGGCTCAAGCTTCATAAAAAATTCTTTGGTCATCTTCTAAAGAAATCCGAATCTACCACCTGTACATCTTCCCTCCAAATATGAGCTACTGATGGAACTGTAGACAAGCAGCTTAAGCTCTTTTCAATGTTCTCTTTTTTAAAAAAAAATTTTATCCTTTTTTAAAATTTTATTTTATGTGTATGGATGTATCGCCTACAAGTGTGTAAGTGCACCCATGTCGTGCAATGCCCTTGGAGGTCAGAAGAGGGTGTCAGATTCCCCCGGAACTGGAGTTACAGACAGTTTAGCCGCCATGTGCGTGCTGGGAATTGGACCTGGGTCTTTTGCAAGGGCAGCCAATGCTCTTAACCACTGAGCCATCTCCCCAGCCTCCTTTTCAATGTTCTTTAAAACAATAGCTTATTTAGCACTCATGTTCAAAGTGAAATGACAGTGTAGAGCATATGGCTTCCCAAAGAAGAAAAGCAAACACACCGGGTTGGAGGTAACTCTAAATTAACTGCATATACTACACCAGTTCTATCACAGAAATCCTAAATAGCATCCTGAGAACCATGCTACAATCTATGCAGAAAAGTGATTGTGCCATACTGGTTGGTTAATTTAGTTTTAGGAAACCAATGAAGAAACAGCTAATGTTTGAGTGGTTTTATTAACAGTATCATGGACTATCAACACAGCTCTTTCAATACTTCACTGTAGTATACCAAACATGCATGCATGTGCCACACACACACACACACACACACACACACACACACACACACGCCTGGAGCTAGCCTGAAGCCAGGTGTGGTGACACACACCTGAACATGGTGGAAATGCCAGCACTGGAAAGGCTGATGCAGGAGGTTCATGGGATTCCAGGCCAGCCTGGATGACACAGCAGAACCCTGCCTCAAACATGACACCACTACAAAACAAAAACCCAAACAAAGAAATAAACAAAATCTAGCTCAAAAGCTACTGGAGTCGTATGAATCAATTCTCATCATCTGAAAGGTCTCATAATAACCAGGGAGAATGTGCTGAACTTCAGGGCTAGTTTTCCAAGTACAAGGATTTTTTTTTATCCTTCAACCTGAGGCTTGTTTGTATGTGTTAGAATAAAAGGGTGGCAACAGGTCATAATATTTATTAACATCAATGCTATTGAAAAATGTACATATGCATATGCGCATACGCAAGCACAATTTTGCACTCTGAAACCCGTGCATATCTCCATCTCTTTTCCTTTTTGAATTTACTCCAGAATGGTTTAGGAGGGCCACAGCTAGGCAGAGTGAAGACCTCTAACAGCAAGAAGATGATCACAACCAGTGAGATTCCTGACAACATCCCTGCTAGCTGGAAGACACTCAGACACATATCACACATACATTCAAAATCAATAAATGTCAAAAATAGATAAACAAATATAAAAAAAGAGCTTTTAAGACGTTTTTATGTAGAGGCTGGGGAGATGGCTCAGTCAGTAAAGTACCTGCTGTGCAGGCCTGAAAACCTAAGTTCAGTCTTTAGCACCCATGTAAGAAGCCAAGCACCGTGGCAGGTTTGTAATCTCAGAGCTGGGAAGGCAGAGGGAAGCAGATCCTTGGAGCTCACTGGCCGGCCATTCTGGCTGAATCAGTGTGTCCTGGGTTCCAGTGAGAGACCCTGTCTCAATAAATATGATGGGTAGCAACCGAGGACCAACACCCAAAGTTGATCTCTGGTGTCTGCATGTATATATGCACACATGTATAGCCACACACACACAAACACTCCCCACTAAAAAGGTTTAGGCAAATTTATCAATGTTTTTCTTTTTTTGATTTGGATGTTTACTCAGAGGTACATTTTTTCACTTCCCAAATAAAAAAAGAATTCACTAGTATTTATATCTAGTACTTACATAGTGTAATGTGTTAAATTTGGCTTCTTGTCCATTTGAAATTTATCTTGGTTTGTGGTATAAGAAAAATAAAGCAGCAGGGCGTGGTGGCATACACCTTTAATCCCAGCACTCAGGAGGTAGAGGCAGGCGGATCTCTGTGAGTTCAAGGCCAGCCTGGTCTACATAGTGAGTCCCAGGACAGCTGGGGCTACAGGAAGACCCTGTCTCGAAAAGAAAAAGAACTTGGCATATACCCAAAGAACTCATCCTATTGCAGAGACACTTGTACATCCATGTTTGTTACTACTCTTTTCACAATAGCTAAGAGATGGATGCAACCTAAGTGTCCCTGAACCGATGAGTGAATAATGAAAATGTGGTTCATTTATACGGTGGAGTTTTACTCAGCAGTAAAGAAAGATGAAATCATGAAATTTGCAGGTAAATGGATGGAACTAGAAACTATTATACTAAGTGAAGTAACATAGACTCAGAAAAAAAATCGATGCATGTTCTCCCTCATATGTGGATCCTAGAACCAAATCCTGATAAGTGAATAAGCAACCAGACATAACTACAGGAACCAGGATAATGGAAAGGAAACAGGGAGGTAAAGGAAAAGGATACAACCAAAAAAGAAAAAAAAAGAAAAATAAAGCTTATCTTTTCTGTCTACTTACTCTAGCACCAGTGTTTAGAAAAGTCCGTCTATTCTGACTGATCTGAGATTCTGGCCTTGGCCTTCATCTAAATTTACATGTGATATTGGGTCTACCTCTGGACTTTTCTTCCGTCTTACTATGTGGCCTACTCATGTAATAGGCAAGTTTGAATTACAGAAGCTTTAATATGCTTCCTTGTCTGCCAGGCCGGCTCTCTCTTCCTGTTTTTTCACACATTTTCCTATTTTTGTTTGCTTGTTTTAACTAAGTTTAATCTATAGGATAAATTTTGGTGGAATTTTTATGAAGACCATTATCCTGTTACATCAACTTGGGAAGAACTGGCATCTATATGGCTGAGCCTTCCTATCTAAACCACCATGTGTCTTTTCATTTTGCACTATAAGTTGTTTTAGATGACAGATACTATAGACAATTTTTGCTGATAGGACTGATCCATAGGACGACCTATTGATGATACTGTCAGTATGGCAATGTCTAGGCTGATGCCCAGCAATACGACAGGAGGGACAGATATCCCTTAAATCATGGAAAGCCTGGCTGGAGAGGCATGTGTACAGTCACCATGGGCATATAGCAACCAAGACAGAGGCTGTGGGGGCTAGGCATTCTCTTTTGCTTGTTTCTGTTTCTTCCTCAAAACAGGAGAAAGGTCATTAACTGAAAGTGAGACGTGATGAAGGGTACTGAGTGCTTGAGAGAGAACAGAAAAGGTACAAAGTTGTCATGCAAAAGAAAAAGAGGGAAGGTATCTATGAAACAGAGCAGCAAAGGAACAACACGAAAGGAACCTGTTTCCACAGAATTTCAGAAGCCATGCTGTCAGAAGAAAATAATCCTGGCACTCACACATGCAAGTCTTGAAATAGCCAGCAATACAGAAACTGTTGTATTTGGCATCTCTTTAAGGAGATGAACTTCGAACTTGAAACCAGCGCACGTTTACTAAACCTTGCACTCTTCAGTGACTTTCACAGCATTACAGCATTTGCACACTCACCACTTCCTCTGAGAACTCATGTCTTTTCACAAACTTGGATAAATTTCTATCAGCAGCATCCTGTAATATCTTCATCAGGTTTTCCAACATATTTGACTGGATATGGATTATAATCTGCATAAAAAGAATAAACCGAAGTAGTATTTCAATGTTGAGAAATGTACCTGTTTAGTCAAGCTGGCACTGACAGGCATCTATTCTTTAGTATTATTTCCTAATTTATTAGCTCAGACAAGATTTTTTTTTTTTTGGCCTTTTTGAGACAGGGTCCTGCTGTAGCCCCCAGCTGGCCTTGAACTCACAGAGATCTGCCTGTCCTCTGCCTCTGAGTGCTAGGATTAAAGGCCTGTGCCACTACACCAGGTTCAGACAAGATTTTTTTTGAAAGTGCTTCAAATGTTTGCTCACCAGCCAAAACTTACTTTCTAATAGCTAATCAAAATACCATGATGGGAGTTGAAAGGAGGGAACTAATATTTTTGTTGTATACCATACAAGAAAGTAAAGGTGATAGACATGCAAACCTGAGTTTGATTCTTGGATTCCACATGAAGGTGAATGGAGGGAATCAACTTCACAGTTAACCTGTAATCACTGCATGTGCCCCCCCAATAATAAAAAAAATTTAAAAATACAACCGTAAACTTGCTTAATGACCAAAAGAGTGGCAGACTGTGGAGGCTGGGTTCTGGGGTTGAAATCTCAGCTATGTGACTCTGGGCTACTACTGAACTTTTCTTTTAATTTCCTCATTTATAAAATGGGAAAAATATTTTCAGAATTCACATTTAGTGTTGCTGTGAGCATTAAATTCTAGCAAACAGGAAGTATACAACAAAAATATTAGTTCCCTCCTATTTATCTCCTCTGTATTCAAAGGATATGACATGAAACTCAAACCATCCCCTAAGACTGGCTGGAGGAAAACAGTACACAGACTCTGGCAGGTGAGAGGATGCTGACTGCAGTCTCAACGCAGCCCTCCTATTTATACTGTACCTATGAAGAACCTTCAAGGCTGACTGGGGGCTGCACTGAGCTTTGAAAATGACACTAACAGCCAAGCAGACACAACATATGGTAAAACAAGGCTCATTCCCTCCTAATTTCCAATATGCATGAGAACAATTTGAAACACAGAAAAAGTTTTGTAAAAATGAGAATTAAGAATTCACCAACCAAAATTAATCACTGTTTATAATTTGATGTATCTTCCAATATATTATTTTTCCTAAAATTTGATCTTTCCTTTTGCCAATTATTATACAATAAATAATCTTGTATAATAGTAGAAATATATTAAGAAAACATCATTTTAAACAAATGCATAGCAACCATGGAAATATACAGTACTGTTTAATATTGACCAATGTGTATACATTAAAATAAAAAAACCTGGCAATTTCTTGGACTTGATTTACAGAAGGGAAATTACTAAGCCAAACAGAATGAAATGTCTTTAAAGCCCTGTTCCTTACGCAAGGCAGTCTTTCTGGAAGTTCCTTCTTTTATACTGAACTAGCTATGTTCTTTCACTCATGTCTTCTGTAACATCTATGTTTGTCAGGTTGTATATTCATCTGTATTTTTATTGCTGTAACAAAATAATGGAGGCAGGCTAAGTATGAGGGGAAGAAGTTCATTTAGCTCAGTTTGGCACTTCAGGGCATGGAGCTGGCATGAGGTCAGCTAGGGAGGGGCCCCCTCACCAGTCACACCATGGCAGATGGCAATGAGAGAGCACTGTGGAAGCAGGGATCACAGCTCAAACAGGAAGCCAGAGATCAGGTGGGGCCAGGCCAGGCTTCTAGAACAACCTTCTGATAACTACTATAATCCCTCCCCAGGGCACACCCCCAATGACCTACTACCTTCCTCTAGGCACCACTTCAAGTTTTGTTTTATTCTTTGATCATTTCATACATGTACACAACACTTTCTGGTATACTTAGCCTCTGTGCCCCTCTCTTATGTCCATACTACTCCCTCTGCTCCCAACAGGTCCCCTCCTGCTTTCAGGCCTAGGGCTGCCTGTGCATGGCTGTGGGGTTATTTACTGGATTATGGGCAGCTCACCAATGGCTCCACTCCTGAAGAAAAACAACAAGAGGGAGCAGACATCCTGAGCAGACATCTACCTTTCCTATTCCTTTTATTTTCTTTCCGGGTTTGCTATATTTGAAGTTGAATGGCATCATTTTTACATTTATTTATTTATTTATTTATTTATTTATTTATTTATTTATAAGTGTTTGTGCATACCATGGTATATGTGTAGAGATCAAATGACAACTTGTAGGAGTCTGGTTTATTTATTTATTTATTCATTCATTCATTCATTTATTTATTTATTTATTTATTTATTTATTTATTTATTTATTTGTGTGGGCACACCTGCCATGGACCATGGAGGGGAGGTCAGAGGACAACTTGTGGGAATCAGTTCTTTCCTTCTATCATGTGAGTTCTGGGGATCAAACTCAGGTCATCAGGTTTAGAGGCAAACACCTTTATCTGCTGAGCCATCTGCTACCCTGAGACTACTATTTTTCTATCCAACACCCTGCTGTATTCCTCCTCTGATAACAGAATTCACGAACTCTAATTTGTGTTATTGTGTACACAATTCAAAGACCGGATTTCTCAGGTTTCTGTTCTGTTAAGTATCATCATGGGATTATGTTCTGACAAGTGGCATGGAAGTTCAAGTTGCTAGATGAAACACCTGGGAAAACATCTTTAAAAGAGATCAGGTTTTTTTGTCCTTGTCTACTTTTCTTACATCTTGCTAGACAGGAATGTAATGGAGGGAAGTCACCTGCTCAGGATGGCAGAGCACAAACACAGAGAGAGGCCAGATTCTTCAGAACATAAAGGAACACCATGAACTGTCTCTGGCTTTCTACATAGAGAAAGAAGAAATCCTCCAAATCTATAGGCTCTGATTTTGGGGCATGTACACTGTTCCCAACCAAATGCAATTCTCTATTTAAACTTATGGGTGAGAGGCTGCCACTGAAAGACATGTGAGAAGTGACTCTGGTCCCCTGCCCTGCCTGTACAGCTTAGACTTCCCAGCATGAACTGGATTTGAGAGTGGCCTTCCTGAGCAAGGGAAAGCACTGAAACATTTACCTGTAATAACAAATGAATGACTCCAAATACAACCACAAAGTTATCCTGCATTGCTCTCTGCTACTTTCAGTTAAGCAGTATTGCTAAAGAGGGGTTATGATTCTTTTGACACTGACGGGTTTAAACTCAGACTGACAGGGCAGAGTCAACATGCACATGTCCTGATGAGATGATAGGCTAAATTAATGTAATATGGAGCAAGCATTAGCTGGGAAGATAGGAAACCAGGGACTCTGGGTCATACAGGCAGCAAAAGCAATTTAGATAAAAAGAACATTAAATTGGGGAAGGATTAGGTAAGTTCAAATTCCAAATGGCAGCAGCAGAAGATTTGGGGGTAAGACATTAATTTTTAAAGTAGATCAGGAAAAAGAAAACCTTCATTTATTTTTGCTAATATTGATTTAACAGACTCTCTTTTGTCAGTCTATTTTTCAGGCTAACAAATTGTATAAGGATTCCAAATGGATGTCAGTCAGCCTTAGAAAAGCTGAGGCCCATTAAGTCATTTTTAAAAAGCATGGTCTAATGAAAGACTCAGAGTCTGAAAGCCTGCTGCGTGAATGGCAACCATCTTTCTCATCCCTGAGGATGATGAAAAAGGCCTATATCACCACATGAGGAATTCAGATTGGACATCTGCAAGTTTCCTGAGTGAGAATTTTTAATTTTTTAATTTTTATTTCTTGAAGCTTCTAGACCAAGCTGCCCTTGATCTCACAGAGATCTGCTTGCTTCTGCCTCCCAAGTCCTGGGATCAAAGTGCCACCACACTCAGCCCAGGTGGGAAATCCTGGGCTTTGTAGCCATCTGTGTTAAAACTCTGACTCTGCTGTTTTAGTCAACAGTGAGTACTTGGGCAACTGACTCTCCCTTTTCACATCTATACCAAAAAGGAATACTGTTCCAATAGGACTCTACAAAATTAACTAACAAATCACAAAACACCAACCTAGGACCTCAGTTCAAATTTAATTAAAACCTGTCTCTCTCATCCTCCAGTTTTTTACTACCGTCACCTCTAATCTAGGACAAGCTAATAATACATCATATACCACATCTCTCCCTTCACTCTACTGCATTTCCCTTCTTGATACTGGGAACCACTTGGCTACCTTTGGTGCTGGTAGAAGAGTCTAGGTAATCTCAGCAATTCTATCCAGTCCCAGCAGGAAATCAGCACACCCGAAGGCTACTCTCTGGGAAGTAGTATGCACCTGGATACCAGAGCCCTCTATACCCAGTAGGAAGCCAAGAAAACAAAAGAGCTGTCCTTTTGTCCTGATGACTGAAAGAAATAATGAATATGAAGTAGTTGAGCCAGAGTCTGGCAAGCAGTTAGTGTTTTAGACTAGTAGTATTTGTTTAACACTAGATAAGTCAAATTAAAAAGGAGTCTTCATTTGTAACATCTCCTAGGATAATAGGTGTAACTCCAAGCTTTGGGGGAAGAATATTAATATTTAGAAGTAATGAAAACTTTTGGTTTTGTACACAGTAATTATCCTCAGATGCTTCAACACCTACATGACTCTCAGGAGGACAGACTAGATAAGCTTTTTCGGTGTACTTAGGAGAGTGAGGTCAGACACAGAACTACAGACTTTGAAGTAGTGGGAAGTGCTTATAATTGATAGTTTTTATTCTTTTAAGCAGAAGTCTCACCAAAAGCAATCTGCTAGAAAACTGTCATTCTACCTGCCTCCCTCCAATCCCAGAGTTCTGTTCTCCAGAACTCCTCCACACCAACTTGTCTTGGTTACTTTAGTCACTGTGACAAAGGACTGAAGTACATTAAGGGAGGAAGGGTTTGTTCTGGCTTGTAGTTTTAGGGGTTATCAGTCCATTACAGTGGAAAAGGCATAGAGACAGAAGGCATGGAGGCAAGAGCAGGTCAGTCTGTGGCTGCAGAAGCAGGTGGGAGAGGCACCTCCATCTTGGGTCAGGGAGCACTCAGGCCAGAACCAAAAGCAGAGGGCACCTTCAAGGCACACCTCTAGTGACTTCTGCTAGCTAGGTCACGGGTCCGAAGGTCCTACAATCTCCTAAAGCAGCATACCAGCTGGGAACGAACACGTAGGCCTACAGGGAATATTTCACACCCAGACCATAACAGGTCCCTCTTTCAGTCTCCTTAGTCTGTCCTGTTGGCCAGCCTGTCTTTCCTTCACTGCTTTATCTTGAAACAACCAATGCATTGTTGTGATGTTAGCCTAGCTCATATCACACTGGTGTTTAAATATCTGTATTTCACAGAAGTTCATTCCTCAACCCCTTGATTGTTTCAGGAGACAACAAGCTCTTGAAAGATGGGAGGTTTGTTTTTGTTTTCTCAACTCCACACAACATAAACACACCAGTATGGAGGAAGCAAGCACTGAAAAGGGGCTAAGTGAGCGGTGCCTTTAGTGATGAAACAGTCTTGTTTCCACTGGCTCAATAAAGCTTAGGTGAGTTACTGCTCACAATCTAGGAATGGCAACAATATGCATCGATCTTCATTATTGGACTAAATTCAGTATTCTGGAAGAATTTCAGTTTAAAGGGTCAAGGTTTCACGGTTGAATGAGTGCAGCCCTTGTAGACCTACACAGTGAAGTCTCACACAGGTGATACAGGTAGTCCAGCTAAGCCAAAAGGGTAGAGGTTCCTTTGCAGAATGACAATATAACAAAAATGAAAATAGCTACCTATCATCTCCTCGGTGCCTGCCATGTGCCAGATGCATGTATTATATCAGCTCACCAATCACAACACAAGTTAGCTACCACACATGGGATGCAATTAGCATCCAGGTTTTACTTGAGCCCTGGGAAAGTCCGACAGGTCCAGCTACATTCCCTCTTCTTTAACCTATAGACTGCCAGCCATACCTCAAATGTTCAACATATAGCCCTGTTTTATACCTGAGCAGATCTATCCTTCCCACCTACTCATAAACTTCTGGTAGCGATGTATGTGGTGTTGATGTCTCTCATGTAGTGATTCTCCTCATAGAGGGATTGAAAAATAACTATATTTAAAGTTTTTATTTATTTATTTTTATTTTATGTGTGTTTTCCCTGCATGTACGTAGGTGTACCATATGCATGCAATGCCTGTGGAAGCCAGAAGAGGATGTCAGATCCCCTGGAACTCAAGTTAAAGACCACTGTTAGCTGCCATGTGGTTGCTGGGAACTAAACCCAGGTCCTTTGCAAGAGCAGCCAGTTCTCTTAAGCACTGAGCCATCTCTCCAGCCCCAGAAAAATGACTATTCTTTTGAATAAAATGAAGACTGAACAATCAAGTCATTGTACATAGACAAAAAAAAGCAGACATTTTACCACATTTCAATTCACTTTAAACTTTAAGGAAATCACTTACATTTAAATTAGTGCAGGTTATACTCTCTGGATTGATGATTTGAGAAAAAATAGACATAGCTTTTTCCAGTTGGTTCTGGAAGGAAAAATAAAAAAATGTCACACTCCAAATCACTATACCATTACAATTATCCTAAAGATCATTTAGAGAAGGCAGGGTATCCCTATTCATACAGCCTCAGAGTTTTAAAATCAACGAAGATTTTTAATAATCAATATTAAACAACCATCCATAAAATATTTTACTCAGTGATACAGTATCCTGTTTTAATCTTTCAGAGTCTAGTTTCTAAGATGAGGCATTACAATGGTGTTTCCCCTTCTCCCATAGAACCAGCTTAAAAAAAAAAAAAAACAGCAATGAGTGCTTGTGAGATGGCTCAGTAGCTGCTGCTCTTGCAAAGGACCAGGGTTTGATTCCCAGTACCTACCAGGGTGTTTCCATTGCCCTCTTCTGGCCTCCATGGGCACTGGGCTCACACAAGGTACACATACGTACAGGTAACCACTTATAGGCACAAAGTAAAAATAAATGAATCTTAAAAAAAAAAAAAAAAAGTAAACAGCAATGAGAAACAGAAAGCAAACCTCATCATTGATAATTAGAACAGGGAAGCCTAAATCACAGAAGAGTGGGCACACTGCCAGAGTCCTTGGAGTTGGAGCCTGGAAGGTTTCAGAGAAGGCAGGTAGGGATGCTACACATTGCAGAAAGTACCCCATAACAAGTTCTCAGAGGTTTTCTGCAGGCATAACTTAAAGTACACACCCTAAATTCTTGCCTGCAGTAAGAGGAATAGATATTGAAACTAGGAGAAGAAACTTCCAGGATCCCTAGGGAGGCAGGTAAAGGACTTCTATAGACAAGCCACACATGCAGGGGGCAATGCGTCCCCATAGGAGCAGCAGAAAAGAGGCTGCACACCCAAATCCTCCTCAATGCCTGGTCCCACAGACTAGGGAGAAACAAAGGTGGGCAGACATGCAGGCAAAACCGCAAGTTATATGGAGTTGTTACACCAAGAAAAGGCCTGCTAGTCTAGACTAGGGCTCAGGTGTGTCTATCACTCTCTAACACGAATTTCTTACAAATGGCTGATCTAAAAGAAATTTATATTTGTGAATGTTGAATAATCAAAAAGACTCAGCTTAAGGACTACATAAAGAGAGTTTCTTAAAAGCAAAAAGAAGCCAGTGGTGATAGTGAACACCATTAATCTTAGCACTTGGGAGGCAGAGGTACACGGATTTCTGTAAGATGGAGGCCAGCCTGGTCTACCTAGATAGTTCCAGGCCAGTTGGGGCTACAGGGAGACTCTGTCTCAAAAAGACTTAAAAAAAAAAAAAAAAAAAAAAAGGGAAAAGGGTCTAGAGAGATGGCTCAGCAGTTAAGAGCAATGGCTGCTCTTGCAAAGGACTAGGATTTGGTTCCCAGAACCCACATGGCAGCTAACAACAGTCTGTACCTCCAGTTCCAGAGGATCTGACACTCTCTTCTGGTATCCACAGGCATTGCATGTACAGGTATATTTACATGCAGACAAAACACTCATACACATAAAATATTTTAAAAAATCAAAAAATTACTTTAAATAAAAAAGGAAAGAAGTACAACAAAATAATTAGAATAATTAGAAGTAGAAACTCCAATATGATGTTTTCATGGATATAGAGGACAAAAATGAGAAAAATGAATAAGACCACATCAATTAGCCATAGAAAGAAGATCAGGTATGCCTTAGATGTTGCCACAGCAACACTGCAAACTAGAAGACAGAAGACCAGTGCTCAAAAAATCCTCAAGAAAAGTGCAAGTATCATCCCGAAATGTTAAATCTGGCCAAACTATAGGATAGCACAAAAATAAAAGGCAAATAAATAATTGTAAATGTCAAGACTCAGGTAATATTGTTCCTTGGAAGAATTTATCAGAAGACACATTTTAGGCAAAAAAAAGACAACTCTGGAAAAAGAACAGCAAAACAGTGGGTAATAAACACTGAACCCAATGAACTAGAAAGAAGCAAAATGAATGTGGAGAAGGTGGCTGAAGAACAGTGTGCATATTATGTACCCAGACAGGAGAGAAGTGACACCAGCCAAAGGAAAAGAAGGGAAGAGGAACACTGGAAAGCACAGTAAGTCCATTTCCTCATCTTTATTACCTGAGGGTCAAAATCATCACATAAACCTGATAAATCAGGTACATTTAAGAAAAAAGCAAACATTATGAAAGGGACCATATCAATTAAAATTAGGTGATGGAGAAGAGGAAAAAAAAGGAAACGCTGTTTTCATTATTAATAGGTACTGTCAAAGGAATTAGATCGAGAAAATTATATAACCATATCGTTTTAAAGTAACCAGTAGAGAGGACCCTTTTTTCATCTAATTCTCCAAAGTTCAACGTAGATTTTAGGTCCCCTCATATAAGGTTTCTCAGGCTTTTAGCAATAATGAGGCAGAACAGCTAGTCAGGAAACAGAGGGGCATGAGAAGATAAAGGCCCCCTCACTCAACTGGTTCTGGTTTGTCTCGCTGGCTGACACCCAGGACTTTTGTACATAAACTGACCAGACCACCTGCAGAAAAAACCCCCATACTCCCCTTTTGGAGAAGCAGCACAAAGAGCTTGTTAAAAATGGCTGAAGAACTAGGCCTGAAGTTCGTCCTTTGTAACCTCTAAGTAAGGACCTCTTTGTCTTTACTAACACTCCTTCTCCAGCTGCAAGCCTGTACAGTGTACTTTAAAATGTCTCCTCTTCAAGGACAGAATAATAAGAAAAAGGAATATACCAGCACAAACTGCTTAACATTTAAACTTAGTTGCAGATTAAGTAGCTCGGATGTTCTGAAATCACATATATAGCTACTAAGGAGGCACTTCAGGACAACCTCTCCTAATACCCCCACTCTACGCTCTTCAAGTGCTTCTTGGTTTTGTGCTTAGTTAGCAAATCTGCCAATTCTTAAAAATAAATAAATAAATAATCAGCACAGAAGCAGTATACACCACAGAAAAGAAGTACATGGCGGAAGATAGCTTAAGTTATAAAACACAAAACATCCAGTAAAATGACACTTAAGATCATATATACACCATATGACTATAAATGGACTAAAAAAGACTAGATCATATATAAAGCCAAGTTGAAATTCTGTAACAAGAGATGCAAGTAAAAGAAAACAATGCAAAAAGACTTTGAATAAAAGGACAAGAAAAGGTATCAGACAAATGCAAAGCTAATCAAAATAAGAAACAAAAACAAAGGCAGTGATACTATTAGAGGTTGAATTCAGGGCAAAGGCATTAAACATAGCCAAGAAAAGTATTTTACAACACTCCACTGAAAGGCCCACGGATGACAAAACAAGGATAATTTATCTGTGTCCACACGGTAAGTATGCTTCAGAAAAGCAAAACTGCAAGAGCTACAAAAAGACTTGGAAAGGTAGAGTTAATCCACGTGACTCAGCTCCTGCCACATTAGTAAGAGGATGAAGCAATTTCCCTGGACAGACGGGGAAGCTCAGGAAGGTGGAGAAGTGGTCATGGTCTAATTGGTGCTGGTAGGTATGGATCCTCTTAAGCCCTTTCCTTCAAAGTCTTTTCCCAGCATTTCATGAAAATGAATTATCCTAATAGTTCTAAGTATTCTGATTAATTATAAGTAAGCACTCCCCAGACTTGTTTTACCAGCTGGGTAAATAACCTAGCTTGGTTAGAATTTTTCTATCATAAGACTTTCTTTTACCATTTAGCAAATGTGTAAAGTATGTTGTATTTTTCAGACCTTCCAACAGGTTATCTCGGAGTGGGCTCTTTAAGACAGTAAGTATTTGAGCTTTGTCCTTCACTGAGATCCAACCTCAAGGATTTCTTCTCTTTTTTTCCTGGGCCTCAGCTGCTGTATTTGTGCAGTGAGGTGGTGAGGGACTATAAGTGAATGCTAAAGCCGCAACTAAACAACAGCAGTTGGGTCAAACTACAAAACCCTTTGTAGCAATGGGTTGACCCCAGAGTCCTTATTCATTCACACTTTGGAGAGCAATAATATAAGATGCTGAGATTGGTATACAAGTAACCATCTGCTGTTTTTACTGTAATCACCTACGAAATTTCTCTGAGTGTGGCTTCCTTCTTAACCTCTACAGGCTCTTGGCCCACCTACATGTTGGGTCTTCAACTGTAAGTATAAATGTTCTGTGCAGCATAGATATGGACAATGACTGCTGCAGCAACAGAGGCACTGCTCTCCTTATGGGGACTTCTTTACAGTCCAAAGGGAAAAAATAAATGAAAAACAAGAACAAATGAAAGTAAAGAAGTTTTGCCTACTTCCAATTAACTTCTGTCCTCTGTTCCATAGCCTTACCTGATTCAGAGCTAATGCCACAGCAAAACAGGAAGCTCTCCGGGAGAGAATTTTCCCCTTAATTAGGGCTTCTTCTCTTAATGTGGTACAGATTTTGAAAGATTCCGGGGTATTCTGTGAGAAGATGGGATTACTTGATAAATGTCATGAACCTTTTAAGTTTAATGATTAACAGTGCTTAGTGTTTCAGATTTCCTTTTGTAAGAATTTCACAGAGTCTATCTGAAGCCACTTAAAGAATTAAGCTATACAAAGACGATTTGCAAAGAGACTGGGTTATCTATGTTAGGAATTCAGATCTAAATATTTATTTTTCAAGTTGTCTACTTTCCATCATGAGCCAGTGTTCACTAGCAAATATCCTTATTTCTTTGTATGTGAGCAGGTAGCTAGTTTCTAGGCATAAGCTGCATAATGCAGTCAGCCTATTATATTAAATAGCACTGAGTGCTCAGTAACATAGGAAACTTCCTAGGGAGATTTCCAGTCTGAAAATCTTCAGATAAGCCAAAATACTTGAAAACAAGAGTACTACTTTAAACATAAGGTATAAAAGAATCCCACAAAAACAAACTTAAAAAGTGATGCACTCACTAGCAAGGCAGCAATGGTAAACCTCATGCCCTTCTTCTGAGCTGCTGCAGGTACTTGAGTTCACAGTGGCAGCACTGGCCCTCCATCTGTGTCTGTCGAGACAGACTCACCACTCAGTCCTCCAAAGAAAGTCTAAATTTTATGTGGGGCCAGTTGCCAGGAGTAACTTGAAATCTGACTAGTTCTATTTCCAAACTTGCCTCCACTTAGTGATACAAGTCATTTTGACACAACATAGAAAGGAAAGTCCTCTGGTCCTTCTTAAGAACTAAATCTCTACACTCTGCAGGGAGGCATCCCTGAGTAGGCACCATAACTGGGAGTCACCATGCCAAATAACCAATGTTCTAGTGCTGTTCTGATGATGTTCTTCACAAAATCATAGAACGGTATGGCTAGAAAGGATTATCTAATCAGGAGGTCAATGAACTATAGCTCTTGGGCCAAGTCCAAACTACAGCTAAGCTAAGCATGGTTTAAACGTTTTTAAAGGCTTATAAAAACATCTGTTTGTTCTTTTGTAGAAAAGGTTTGATGACCCTAGAGTTCAACTTCTTGTTTTACATGTAAGTGATCAGTTCAAAGTTATATAAGCCAGTTAATGCTAAGTTGAGATTCAACTTCAAGTTTCTTAATTTCTAGATTGGCTTTTGTTCTACCATAACCCAATTCCCCTCGTTTTTGAAAGTTGATACTGCTACACTCTTTAGGGAAGTTGTTCAATGCCTCCATTCTATCTTACTTTAAACTTTTCCATTTTTGTATACAAGTTACGTTATTTAGTTATATTAAGTTTAAATGGTGTATTTAGTAATGTATCGAACTTTGGTAATTTTACATTTTCATCCATTCATTTAATTTTTTTACAATTATTTTTATTATGTGTGTGTGAGTATATTACCTGCATGTGTGTAAGTGCAACTGTGTCGTATAACGCCCAAGAAGGTCGGGAGAGGGCACCAGATCCCCTGAAACTGGAGTTACTGGCAGTTGTTAGCAGCCATGTGGGTGCTGGGAATCAAATCCCAGTCCTCTGAAAGAACAACCAGTGCTCTTAACCACTGAATCATCTCTCCAGTCCCTCATTTGATTATTATTTATGAAATGGTTTCTTTTTTTTTCAAAATTTTATTTATTATTTTTATTTTATGTGTATGCGTGTGTGTCCCAAGGGGTGCTTGTTCCTCCAACAAACTGGCACAGCCAGCAGGATAGCAGCGCTAGGAATGACAAACTGCGGGAGTTTGGAAAAAGCTAGGGAGCTAACGGTGGCGCTGATGTGGATTTTACACTGGATTATAAAATATGAAACTAAAAAGGAGCCGCCATGCAGAAGCGTGGGACACAGCTGTGTTGTAAATGTGGGGGAATAGCCCAGTTGTAGGTATGTGAAGATTGTTAAAGGTTCCAAAATGGCTAGAAGAACTTTTACAGGCCTAGGACACAGGCAGAGAACCCAGAGAGAGGGCGTGGCCACTTTGCATAATAAAAGATGAGACCAAAGCAGAAAAAGCTGAAAAGGCTAAGAAAGTACTACCCTGTTCAGTTGTAGAACTTGAGAGAAAAAAAAACACAGGACATTTTAACTTGGGTAGAGTCCCAGGGCTCAGAGAAAAAGACAGATAATAGTAAAAAAGGAGATGACCTAAAAATAAAAGTAGCTAAAGCTGCCCCTCGGATTCAACCATTGACACAAAAAGGAAAAAAAGCTAACAGAGTGCCTAGGAACTATTCCACACTGGAACTCTTAAAACTAGGAAAAACTTAGAAGCAATTAAAGAGCCCCTTGCCACGTGGCTCGTGAGGGTGTGGGACATGGGAGCAAACAGTGTCAGTCTAGGAGGTCCTTCAGAAGCTTTACAGCTGAATAATAAAACCATCCATCTGTCCTTAAGATACAGGCTGTTCAACCTAGGCCAATGCAGGGGGGAGCAGTCCTTAATGGGATGGCTGGTTGAAGGCATTGAGATACATGGTCATCACCAAGGGAAACCCCCATAATTAACAGAGGCTGGAGAACTATAAAGGAGGGACAGGCATTACTGAGAGAACTAGGTATGAGAAAAGTAATATATGATACCCAGTTCACTGGACCAGATAAGACTGTGTTCACCAGAGATATAAAGGAAAGCCTAATTCAACTGGGACCTTGAGAATGGTATAGAGCTTTAATGGTTTTGCTAAGCCCTTTAATGGGACAGGATCTTTGTAAAGTAAAAAGGCTTTAGCAGATCTAAGTGACCCTGACCAGCATGTAAAACTGTCTGTAGAATAAGAGAACACCCTACAAGAGATATAAAAAAGACAAGACAGAAGGAATGGTCCATTTGGGTTATGCAAAGACAAATGTGACAAGACTTACTTCGAGCCCAAATTCCCAGAGATAATAATTGATAGAAAACCAAATTTGGTACTAAGGAGTTTCTGGAAGGTTTTAAAACCAGAAGAACGGTTTACAAAAGGCATTCAAAGGATAAAAACTGTCCCAGGGGTGGTTAAGAATCCCCAAAGATTAAATAAGGTGCATTTCTCTGCTGATAAAGGCTATGCTAGGGGTGGAGGCAGTTTTTCCCACCAAGGCCTCCCCCAGCATCCAGGTATAGTCAATGGAGAGATGACAGATATGGCTACAGTCAGGAGGCAGACCCAGGGCCTGCCTGACTCAGGGAACCAACAGGTACAGTGGAAACAAGAGACCCCCTGCCTCCTTAGCCCAGTGCAGGGTCAGGCAACTGGAGCCAACACCTGTAAGTGTGTCAAGGATAAAAGAATACAAAGAGACTCCATGTAAAATCCCCAAAGTGCGAAATACCTCCAAAGGGATAACTAAAGATAGTAAAGAGCTAACCAAATTAATACCTCGTACCCATGCTATAGTACCTAACAAGGACCTATGGAGAAAACAGTTAATATGAATGGCTAAAACTTTTTCATGCTGTGTTAAACCTTGCCTATGACTGATTTAATATATGATGTTAACCTTCCTTTGAGTGTTTTACAGATGTGAAACCCATTTGAAAGATTCTTGAAGAAACAAAGGCTAGCTATAGCTCCAAGATTCTTGGGAGTTTTATTGTTGGGTAAGACAAAAACAGAGGCTCCCAAACTATACAACTGTTAAGAAAATCTACAGTACTAGGGGGTAGGCTGCCTCCCATGAGCTGTTAGTCAGAGAGAGATCCTAGCAGTCCTCAAATTCACCAAGGCTATTGCCACTAACGTCGGCTGTACACCAAAAAGGTCGGTAAGGCCATATTGCTGAAGACACTGTATGATGTAAGCATGGGAGGAAAAAAGATGGAGCTGAGACTCATAGTACCAGAAGGCGCTATGCAGAGTGGTTGGGGAAGAAAGGATCCCCTATGATTCTACTCAACCATGGACCCTGCGTGCTGCACACTACGGACATGCCAAGCAATGCCTGCAAGTGCAATAATGGCTCTACTAATATACATACAAATGACAAACTTCCAATTGGATAAGGCCCACTCCTGGGGATGGAACACACATCTGGTGCTGTGGACCAGGCCAACCTTGTGTTGAGAAAGGCTACAGGCCCTAGCAGGGAAGCCATTACAAGTATACTGTTTAATGAATTTAGTACACCTATTGGGATATCCTCTAGGCATTTGTATTTACATTCATGTTTGTTTAGATGTATCTACTTCCTTCCATTTGTCTTCATAGTGGAAGAAACACTACTGAGCTAGATCAATGACCACGGCTTGAAGATGAATAATGGGGAGGCCCAAGTCACTATCTTGCCATGATACGAGAGATCGCCTTACATCTGTCACCTCCTCCAAGGCTCAGGGACCTTAGCGGAAGATTGGCCGAAAGACTGTAAGAGCTGGAGGAAGGGGTGGAGTGTGTCCCGAGGGTACTTGTTCCTCTGAGGGGCGGGGCCTGTTGCAGAGAACTGGCTGCAGAGAGTTAGCTGCGGAGGGAGGAGTGTAGGTGCCATCTTAGAAGCGAGCAGGGAATGGAAAAAATGGCCCTGGTGTCTCACCCACGTGGACACAAGAGGGGGCATTTAGCAACTTGGGGCAAGACTGCGGGCCCACAGGGCATGGGCGAAAGCTAATGGAGACTGTGGGCGGGGTGTGGAAGCGATCTGGAACGGCAGGCCACCAAGCCACAGAGTGGAACAGGGTACCAGGCGTTTGCCTTTGTAAGTTACTCTATTTTCCTTACCCAGGATATAAACTATGAAAAATTTAGATAAAGATGTGTTATATGGTTTGTCTAATAGCACCAGGAGCAAGGGACCCTAAGAGAACTCAGGCAACAGCGTGTATTGCCTGAATGTAGGTAAGTGAACCCGTGTCGTGCAATGCCCACGGAGGACAGAAGAGGCTGTCAGATCCCCTGGGACTGGAGTTACGGACAGTTGTTAGCTGCCATGTGGGTGCTGGGATTCAAACCCAGGTCTCCTGCAAGAACCAGTGTTCTTAACCACTGAGCATCTCTCCAGCCCCTGAAATGGTTTCTATGTGCAAAAACCAATCCTAGTTGGACCTCATGGCACATGTCTGTAAACTTAGCAATCAAGAAGTTGAGGCAGAAGGATCTTGAGTTCAAAATCAGTCTGGGCTATATAAGCAAAACTCTAAAAATGGAACAATGGATATGGCAAGGATAGAATATCACTTCCACCTCTGGTGAGTCCTGGAGCTTGCCCCATAGGATGGGATGATTTCCAAGGAGGACAACAGGGGAGATGGATCTAGTAGAGTCTAAGCTACAAGAGACTAGGGCAGAGCAGGAATGTGACATGCTGTCCCTTGTTTTCACAATCTGCATGCCTGCCAAAGAAGGGTGCAGGATAATAAATTGTTTTTATGCGATGAAGCTGTCTGACAAGGCTAACTTGAGTTTTCTAAAAATGAGCACATTTTAAATTGAAATATTTGCACCATATGGAAAATAGACTTTAGAGGAATGAGAGAGAGAGAGAGAGAGAGAGAGAGAGAGAGAGAGAGAGAGAATGAATCCTCTCAAATACTACTCACTATGCCTGAGAGTTAAGGGGAATATTCTTACCAGTTTGTAGCAAATTGCAAAAGCAAGGACATAGCTATCTTTGCTGAGCCTCACATCTTGTTTTCTCATTTCAGCCAATACTTCCATTGCACCTGCCAGAAGTGAAGAGGGGGCCAGGAGTGTTAAATGAACCTACTGTTGGTTCCCAGAGTCCTAATCAGTTCAGCACCATCTACCAAAAAGCATATTTTAGTATAATATAAGTCATTTCTCAAAGTCAAATACCAATTAACTAAGAGTCAAACTAAATTATCAGATCATGCAGAAGAACTCAATTTTAAAACTGGATACAATTTTGGCATAAGCAGAATCTGGGGTGGTTCATTTAAGGCATCACATACGATGCAATGTTTTGGAAACTCAAGGAATGCAACCTTTGTAATCTAATTTAGTCCCTCAACAGAAATCTAATGATCATTTTTGCAGGGTCCTTCCCACCCCAATTGCTATTCCAGCATATTTTTCTACAACTACAGATTGTAGTACTTACTTTCATATTTGCCTTTGATAAACAGTATATCCATCAAAATATTAAATGATGTTGAGTCTACGAAGAAACCTTGTAAATGCTAACGAAGAGAAATAAACAGTTTGGTCAAAAGTTAAAGCTATTATATTAAGGGGATGCCATATACATATACTGAATCTTATTGCTACAGTCTTACTTTACAACCTCCCCAATTTTCTACTAATCTGGATTTTTTTTTTTTTTTTTTTTGAGACAGGGTCTCCCTGTGGCCCCAACTGGCCTGGAACTCACTATGTAGACCAGGCTGGCCTTGAACTCAGAGATCTGCCTCCTTCTGTCTCGCAAGTGCTAGGACTAAAGGTGTGTACCACCACACCTGGCCAGAGGATTTTTTTTTAAAGCTCAAGAGCTGATTGCTGTCACACCTTTGGGAATGGACATACCTGGACAAGAGGTAAGTGAAGAACAAGCTTATGAAGTCTGGCCCTGCCATGAGCAGGAGGAAAGAAATAAGCCCTGGCAGGTGGCCCTGAAACCTGGGTACCAACTATGAACAGCAAAAGGCAGGTATAAGTTTATTTTAAGGCAAGAGTATCTCACAGAACTATGGTCTTGTTTATCACAAACAGGTAATACAGAATTATTCACTTTTGAACATAATCTAACATAACAATTCTCAACATTTTTTTCAACTTGTACTTTAATGGACAAAAACATCCATATATTTATTACATCTGGTTTTAAAATGTATACTCAGAGTGGAATAGCTAAGTCATTACTAACCACATTACTTCACATAAACACTTAAGATCTGGTCTTAGTAATTTTTCCAAGAATGCAGTTATTAACTAACATCACCATGTTTTACACCAGTTCAACTCTTTTGCATGAACTGTATATCGTTGGAGTAGTAAGGTCTTCCCAGCATTCTGAATGCCGTAATATGACTGGACATTCAGATGTCATTAAGTACTTTTCTCCTTTGCTCTGTTTTGAGAGGCTGCCATGCAAACCTGTTGTCCATGCTGGGAACAAAGAGACAATAAACAAGACAACACACTTCGCCCTAAACTCTAGTTGGGCTTTTCACCCAAGAGAGCTTAAATTCTAGTGGAGGAGACAGCGCACAAGTGAGCTTGACAAGTGAGAAAAACAAACCAAATCTCAGGCATCAGTAAGGGCCATGGAGAACCACGATGCGGGATAGAGATGGTGAGAGAACATACCTGTGTAGAAGCAGGCAGCTTTATGCCACCTCTTCTTGGTTTGGCTCATTCTACTTCTCTAAACACCTATTTACATATGAAATTTTCACATAAGTAAGCTAAAAAAATTACATTATCTTTGTTTTTGTTGTTATAACCACAGCTTTGACTTTATGTATATTATTTTAGTATATGTGTATGGGAGGTATGTGAGTGTGTGTGGAGGCCAGAGGACAGCCTTGGGTATCATTTTTCAGTTGCCATTCATTGTTCTTGTTTTTTTTAAGGCAGCCTCTCATTGGCCTGGAACTTTATTCTGGAAGTTCCTAAATATACTAAAATTTACATGGTGACCAGCACCAGCCCCAAATTAAATGTTTCTGACCATGTATGACTATATGTCTCCAGGCCCTAGTTTCATCTTCTATAAGGTAAAAATAATAATCTGATTAGGGCTACTTTGGAGAAATAAAGTGCTGAAGATATAGTAAATATTCAGTAATTTAAAAATTATTTTTTATATTTATTTTTAAATTTAATGAATTTTTATATTTTATTTATTTTTTATTTTATGAATATGAATGGTTTGCTTGCATGTATGTAAGTACACCCATGTCATACAATGCTTGTGAAGGTCAGAAGGGGCTGTCAGAACCCCTGGAACTGGAGTTTCAGATGGTTATTAGCCACCATGTGGGTGCTAGGACCTAAACCCAGGTCCTCTGCAAGAGCAGCCAATGCTCTTAATTGTTGAACCCTCTCTCAAGTCCCTATTTATTATTATTGTGTGTTCATGATGGGGTGTGGGGCACAGGTGCAATGGCATGTGTGTGTGAAGATCAGAGGACAACTCTTGTGGAGTTGGTTCTCTCCTTCCACATTGACAAGGTCCCATGGATTAAACTCAGGTCATTAGGCTTGCATGGAAAGTATACTTACCTACTAAGCCATCTCAATGGCATGCAAAATTATAATTTTTTTTTTTTTTAGAAAAAGAAAATCAGAGTATGTAAAAGCGTTTTGAACATAGACAAGTTACAAATACAGTCTTCAACCAAAAGTAAAAAACACAAAAACAAGAGAGCACTCAGTGGCAGGACAGGAAAGCAAAGGCAACTGGTCTTCAACCACTGACCTCTGAAAATTCTTGATAGGTATAGATTCTAGGTCACCACACACACAACCAAGGAAGACATATACCAGGACATCTACATCTATATCCATTCTCCATATGGATGCCCTACACCTCCATATGGAGCCCTACAAGTCTTCTTGTGAATTGACTCAAAGGAAACTTTAAAAAAATGCAGAGAGACCAACTATACACCTCATCCTAGCAAATAAAAACCCCAGTACCAGCAACGGATTACCTCTTTGAGTGGCTGGCCAGTAGGGTCCCAGACCCCCAACCATTATAGGCTATTGCCAATGTTCTTGGTTACCTCCAAGAATTTGACAATATGACCCTATTGCTGAAGGCAATACATACTTGAGTATAAAACATGGAGGGATCAAGCAGGTACTGATCTGGAAGCTTCATTTCTACTGGATAGCTTTCACAGTGCTAGAAAGTGTTATGCACAGTACCAGAAGAAGAAAATAATCATCCCTTTTATGCAGCTGTGAACCTTGTGAGCTACAATAACAACTGGCCTGGCAAAATATGCCCACTAGTGCAAAAGTGGCACAAATATTATGACAGGAGTAAACTACCCTCTCATTGGATTTAAGGCCAACTCCGTAAGATAGAACCCATGTGTAGTACTATTAGGGCCAAAAACTAGCGACTAGAGAGGCCATAGGTCCAAAGGGAGAATCTACTACTAAAAATCTGCTAAATGGACATAGCGTTATGACTTACTGCTACACCCAAAGATTAGTGCATCTCTCAACCCTCATCAGAGAAGCTGCTTTTATTAAAACATATTTTATTATTTTAATTTTTTTATGTGTATGCATGTATTGCCTGCATGTAGGTAAGTGCACCTGTGTCATGCAATGCCCACAGAGGACAGAAGAGGTTGTCGGACCCCCTGAAACTGGAGTTACGGACAGTCATTAGCTGCCATGGGATTCAAACCCAGGTCTTCTGCAAGAATATTCAGTGTTCTTAACCACTGAGCCATCTCTCCAGCCCCAGAATCTGTTTCTTGCAGAAGGCAGTAAACACAAAGACTCACAACTGGTCAACATGCAGAGAAGAGAATGGATTGTTCAGCCTTAAATGGGACATCTATATCACATCCCTCCCTATAAGGCTCAGGGATCTTTAAGGAAGGGGCAGAAAGACTATAAGAGCCATAGGTAGTGGACAACTACAAGGAAACAGTGTTTTCCAGACAGCAGGGCAGTTGCGCATATGAGTTCACAGCAATTGTGACAGCATGCACACGACCTGCTCAAGTTCAAGCCAGACAAAAAGCCCAGCATGGGGGGCAGGGGAGCAGACACGAAGTCCCATCCCTAGTTGAGGTATTTGATAGCTGCTGAGACAGAGTCAGTTTTCTTTAAGAGTGAGATTCCTGGTAGATCAACCATACTCCTAGGCAGGTGCCATACCCAAGAGTATTTGGACAACAAAGATTGGACTCAATGGTGGTGGGGGGAGGGAGGGCAGGGGTACATATAAAGTTCAGTGGGTAGGGAGGTAGAGGCAGGGTCTGGAAAGAATTGAGGGAGGGGAAATACAATAAAAATAGATTGTATGAAATTTTCAAAGAATTAAAAATATGTTTTTAAATGCATAGAAAGTTCACTTATTCAGCCCAGTGGTCTTTCCCTGAAAAAAAAAAAACAAAAACAAAAACAAAAAAAACTCACCCAGGAACAGTGTGCATTAAAAAGTTATCTTTGTGGGGGGGGAGGTCTTGGAGAGATGATTCAGTGGTTAAGAGCATTGGTTGCTCTCACAAATCTGTGTTCAGTACCTAGAATGCACATGGTAGCTAACAATTGCCTGTAACTCCAGTTCCAGGGGATCTGATGTCCTCTTCTGACCTCCTCAGGCATTGTGTATGCATGTAGTATACTTACATACATGTAAGCAAAACACTCATACACATAAAATAAAAATAATTTTTTTTTAGTTTAAAAAAGATTATCTTGTCTATCAGCACCAAAAACATCAAAATCACATGGGCAGGGGAAGGAATCAGAAAATAGTAACCTTGTCTTTGATGAGCTCCATTGCAGATTCTTCAAGATCCAGTTCATAGCACAGTCTCATGAAAACTGGTCCAAACTTATATTCCCCCAGAGTGAAATTTCTGTTCTCTGCATGGTACCTGGTAATGAAAATGATTAACTGAATCAGAAAGTGGGGGGGGGGGGTGGTTAGCAAGAATGACAGACAGGGCTGGGGAGATGGCTCAGCTGGCAAAGTACTTGTGTAGCAAGTACAAGGACCCGAGTGTGGATCCCAGCACCCATGTAAAAGCCAGTCTCAGTGGTGTGCATCTGTAACCCCAGAGGAGGGAATGAAGACAGGCAGATCCCTGGAGTTTCCTGGTCAGCCAGTGTAACCGATCCATGAGCTCTAGGTTTAGTGAGTCTCTGTTTCAAACAGTAAGGTGGAGAACAGGCAAGAAAGATACTTGATGGTGATCTCTGGCCTCCATATGCACACACACACGAACCTGTACAAGTAGATACAAACACACACACACACACACACACACACACACACACACACACACACACGAGGACACAGACTATACTGTGCACTCTACTAGATGCTGGGGACACAATAGAGAATAAAGAATGAGGAATTCCCATTCTGGAAGAAGAAGGAATTTGAATAAAACCAGGAAGAGTTTAGAAAACATACCAGGCATTGAAACAAAAAGGCTTTGTTAGAAGATAACAAACCTTGTGAATTATATAAAAGAGGTAAAACATACACTGTAATCATTCCCTAAATTAAGCAACGACCTGATGGGCCAGGATTGAGTATAAACATGTTAGAGAACAGCAGGTCTCAGAATGGGCCCTATCAATACAACAAGGGAAAGGAGCTGGGAGGTGTTCAGTGCTCTCAGAGGTGGCTTCATGCTCATACAGGATGTCAGAAAACCAACAGGCACATAATAACTTATAGCATTCTCTGCTTTTCTAAGTTCAGGAAAAGACCTGAGAGTCATGGTCACCTAGTTAAAGAAAAAAAATTAAATACTTTTTTTAAAAATCTTAAGACTTCGTGGGGCTAGGAAGATGGCTCAATGGTTAAAAGCACTGGCTGCTCTTACTGAGGACCTGGGTTCAATTCCCAGCACCCACATGGGGGCTAACAACCATTTGTAATTCCAGTTCCAAGGGATCCGACACCCTCTTCTGACCTCTGCAGGCACTGCACAACACTGATGCATTTATATACATGCAGGCTGTGCTGGATAGTTTTGGCTGTCAACTTGACACACATGGGTAGAGGGAGCCTCAAATGTGGAATTGTCTCCATTGGACTGGCCTGTGGCCATGTCTGTGGAGTATTTTCTTGATTATTGAGTGATGTGGGAGAGCCCAGTCCACTGTGGGTGGTGCCACCCCTGGGTAGGTGGTCCTGTGGTATATAAGAAAGCATGTTAAACACAGGCCAGGAGAGCACGCCAGTAAGCAGCATTCCTCCATGGCCTGTGCTTCAGCTCCTGCCTCCAGGTTCCTGCCCTGAGTTCCTACCTTGGGCTCCCTGATGAACGGTGACCTGGGAGATATAAGTCAAATAAATCCTTTCCACCCAAAGTTGGTATTGGGAAGAGTATTTTGTCAAAGAAGGTAGACTAGAACACACTCATACACATAAAAATAATAAATAAAATAAAATCATAAGTCTTGGGAAAAGGCTAATTTCAATGAAAGTGACGTCTTATATGTGGCTTAAGTTTGACATGTGGCCAGTCTGCCTTTTGGAACTGCATAACTGTAAGTCAATAGCACACACTTACTTTTAGTAATCAGTCATTTTTGTTGCAGGCACTAGGAAAACAATCTGCTGACCAAAGCAGCATTCCATGACTACATGCAGATCAGATTTTCATGGTAAAAATGACTTTAAAATACTAGAGGGAAAAGCTCTGACTTTACAGAAAACTTTACATTCTGTTGAAACAACAGAGGAAAGCTGGAGTTGCATTAGGGTGGGGTGCTAGAAGCATACACGCTGCCAAATAATATAAAGATGTATACTTCCAAAGTTATAGTTCATAATCCAATTACAGTAGTTATAAACATGTCATGCTTCATTATAATACTTATGGATTAAGTCATAAAAGACAGTGTAGCAATTAAGAACTTTTGACTGATTCCACAAATGATGGTTCAAAATTTAGCTCTTCTATTTATAAAATGTAATTGCAGGCAAATCAATGAATCACTTGGTCCCTTAGTTTCCTTATCTGTGAAGTGGACACAAAAGAATTCAAAAAGATTTTGTGAAGACTAGATAAGATTTGCTTGGCATATAGCAATTCTTTAAAGTTAGTTCTTATAAAATGTAAGGCATGATGAGAAACAGCTTTAAAATCTATAAAAATATTTCAGTAAACAGTCTCATGAGAAACTTGTTCCAGATTAAAGACAACAGAAAGGCAAAGTTTCCTCAATTTGATATCCATATTCAAAATGAAATTATTACCAATTAAAGTACTAGGAAATCACTGATGATGAGTTATTTCTTGACAAGAAATAAGAGGATCTAAAATCTCTCCATAAACCAAATGACAGATTATGAAGGGATTAGATCACTCCTATCTGTGGCTCAATAAACACAAGCTTCTGTTTCAGCTCATGATCCCCTTTCCCAGCTGGCTTCCTGTCTCAGCAAGGCAGTGAACAGGCTGGTTAGACCATGGATAGATACATCCATCTTCCAACTTGTCCCGTTGCTAACAAAAAGTGGCAAAGAAGATGAACCGGATAGTGTCATCAACATCAGTGAAGAATTATGGTGTGCAGGGAACCAAACCCAGGTCCTCTGCAAGAGCAGGAAGGGTTTGTAACTGCTGAGCCATCTCTCTAGGCCTAACCAGTGAAATCTTCAAAGTAGCTGAGACTCCTCTGAGGAAGGGAGAGTGAGAAGAGGTGAGGGCTGGCAGGATTATCAGAAGTGCCTCACCTGTAAATGACATTTTTAGCCAGTTCCATATCTTCCCGGGATTGACACAAGTAGAGCAACTTTTTCAACTCTTCTTTCAGGATGAGTTTGTTCTGGGTCACTTTCTCTTCCAAGTTTTTAAAGTAGGTCTCTGGAAGAAAACACAGGGTGGTAGTAATTATTCAGGTTGACTGGGATTGTAAATAGGCTGATCTCAGGGAAGAGGGGAAGCCTAAACATGGCTCACTGCAAAGGGGCACTGAGGGGGGCTTTTGGGTATGCGCCCTTCACTGGCTTGGTCCTCTGAAGCAGTGAGTGCTGAAGGTGGTCTCTAAGGCACATCTGTGTCACAGGCAAGACTGGGTCTCCATCCCACACGAGTCGTTTGAAAACTCAAACTAAAGGGTAGGAGGACAAGAAAGGGCATTTTGATTCCTTGGGTGATACTCAGGTTCACTCAAGTTTGAAAACAAATGCCCTAGCCCAGATAAAAAATTTATAGGTGACTCGAGCAGAAAATGAAACCAGACACCCAAACCATCAGTTGGCAGGGCGCCAAGTAGGAAAGTGAAAGGAAAATTTCATTCCATATAATTCAGAAATAGGTCATTCTTCTTGCATTTGATTCAGCCTTTTCTCTTTCATCCTCTTGGCCTGTCCACGCCATGGTCCCTATAGGATCCTGGCCATACCATAATGCAAAATGCATTTAGTCTAACTTTAATTTAAAAGTACCCATAGTCTTTAATAGTTTCTACACTATTCTAAAATCCAAAGTCCAAACTCTCCTTTGAGACTTAAGGCACACTCTTTGTAACTATAACCTTTGCAAAATCAAAAAGCAGATTACAGACTTCCAACATACAATGGCACAGAGTGGACACTCCCACTGCAAAGGGAGGAGTGGAGACAGCACCCCACTCCTTGGGTGTTGAACTAGCAACAAAGTTCTTAACACCATGTTTGTGAGATCGAGATCATTCTTTTTTCAACTTTCCAATTTTTATTTCATTTTCTAATAACTGTTTGTATAGGAAATACAATGTTTTCCTTATTATCCTTATGCCTGGTAACCCTGTTCAATTCACTTACAAATTCTAATTACACAGAAATTTCCAAAAGCACAGTAAAAATTTTATTGTTTTCTTTCCAATTATATTAGGATTTTGAGCAAAGCACTACAAGATGTGGACATGGCAACCTCTGGGTCTTGCTCTGACAGTAGAAGGAAGGCTTTCAACTACTTGCTGTAGATTTTTGGCAGACCTTGCAATTTTTATAAAGAAGCCCCTTAGATATCTAATTTTAGATAATGAATGTTGAATTTCTTCAGCTTCTATTATCATTTGAATTTTCATTTTTCATTGAATTTTCTCATTTGTGATTAAGGGTTTATCTCCAAATGTCAAGTCAACCTTATCTTTCTGGATAGACAGAGATGATATGGGTATAAATCCATCCAGTCTGCAAAATGGCAACATTTGGCTTTTAAAAATAAACCTTTTATTAAAACCACTGCACAAATTATGGATATACAGTTTGGTAGTTTTAAAATTTTTGAACACCTCTGTATAACACAGCTTTGTGGTGGTTGGATGAGAAGTGTCCCCCTAGGCTCCCAAGTATTTGAACACTTGGTCAGTTAGTGGCAGTTTGGGAGGTTTAGAAGATATGACCTTGCTGGAGGGAGGGCATCAGTGGGGGTAGACTTTGAGAGTCCATAGCCTTGCCCACTTGCAGTTTGCTCTCTCTGCTTCTTATGCCTGTGTGAAGATGTGAGCCAGCAGCTTTCTGCTCTGTCTCCTGCCATGCTTTTCCTGACCTGTTGGACTCTACCCTCCAAGATCATGAACCCAATAAATTCTTCATTCTTTAAGTTGGTTTTGATGAGAGTGTTTTGCCACAGCAACAGAAGGCAAACTAGGACAGCCTACCTTTACTCCACTGTTAGAAAACATGCAAGAGTACTACACCATGGGCAGAGGGTGAAGAACAGTTCTCTGAATAGCAGCACTCTTTAGTGGCAGAATCATTTTCAAGTTGCCACCATCTATTTTTGTTCCTCATCATTGCACTGATGCACTATGGAGACAAACACCAAAACAGAACACTGCTCCTGGGCATTAGGAAGAGACTATGCTGTCATCAAAACATGGGGTGAAACCCAATGTAGGCAACCAGAGATAGGGCTATTCTCATTTCAGGAGTAGCTCAAGACTGTTACAAGGCTGCTGCAAGTATTGGTACAATGTACACTTGAAACACAAGGACTGGAAGCCGTGGCACACAGCGTTCTCAGGATATAAGAAAAGACCTACATGGTTTGTGATAAAGGGACTGGATTTTCCAATCTTTCTTCTTAGGGTGGGATGGTGGTTAAAGTTTTACAGATGGAAGGGCCTGGACAGACCTAGGTCCTGCCACCAGCATACTCTGAGATCCTTATCTGTGAGACTTCATTTCCCAGGAATAAATTGGAAACCATGATGCCTACTTTATGGGGTTACATGAGGGTATTATAGAAAACTTCCGGCACAGGGCCTACCATAGAATAACTGCAAGTAAGTAATGGCATTAGCAATCTCAATTTCACTCCTGTCACCTGTTCTACTTAAAAAAATTCAGTCAAAAATTTCTCAAAGCAGGGAGTGGTGGTGCATGCCTTTAATCCCAGCATCTGGGAGGCAGAGGGTGGATCTTTTGTGAGTCTGAGGCTAGCCTGATCTACATAAGAAGTTCCAGGCCAATGGGGGCTATGCGGAGACCCTGTCTCAAAAAGGCAAAAAAAAAAAAAAAAAAAAAAAAAAAAACTCAAAAATTACTAATCTAAAAGATACCAAAGCAATGATTTTACATCTTGTACCTCTTAATCCATAATAAACCCAACGAATCCAAAACATGAAAACATGTAAATTATAACTTAAATATTTGAACTTTCAAGTACTTAGCATATAACCATTCCCAGAGTAATGTGTTTCTCACACAAAATTGTGGCTCTTGCCCACAAACAAATTAAGTCTATCCAGGAAGACAGGATATTTTATACAAAGCTATGTGAAAACACTGGTGGGAAGGTGGCATGTGAGTGACTAAAAACACAATAGGAGGGGGCTGGAGAGATGGCTCAGCGGTCAAGAGCACTGGCTGTTCTTGCAGAGGACTGGAGTTTTCAGCATGGTGGCTAATAACCATCCTTAACTCCAGTTCAGAGATCCAACACACTCTTCTAGCCTCTGAGGGTAATGTGTTCACAGGACACTTACGTACATGCAGATAAAACACGCAAACATGTAAAAATTAAAAAAAAATTTAAACTCAATAGGAAGAAGAGTCTCATGACATGTCATAACTCTAAGCAGTAGGACAGAAGAGGGTGATCAATGAGGAAGGAAGAGGCTAAATAGATTGGAAAAAGAGAGGAGGGGCATTCAAGATACAGGAATTATTCCCATTCTAGAATTAAGGGTAAAAGAGCTGTGACTAAATGAACAAGAAATCATTTGGACTCTAGAAAGGAAGTCTGTTAGAGAAAAGCCCAGGTGGTGAGTATATACATACTAAGGTAAGAGAGTGCTGTTGTACAGGGTTCTTAAAATGATAAAACATGACAGGATTTTAAATATCAGTCAGAAAATAGAGTGGACTGGCACTGATTTTTTTTGTTGTTGTTGTTGCTTTTCAGAATATGTATACACCACTTACAGCTTTATTAGACAACGACAATTGGAAATTACAGACAATAACATGGAGCCCTGACTGCAAACTTCACATAGCTCAAAAATACCTGAAAAGGGGGTGGTGGCACATGCCTTTAATCCCAACACTTGGGAGGCAGAGGCCGGTGGATCTCAGCCAGGTCTATATAGCAAGTTACTGGCAAGCTGTGGCTATAGGGAGACCTGGTCTCAAAAACACCAAACAAGCAGACAAAAAACAAAACAAAACAAAAAACCTTGAGATAAAACCAAAAGAATTCTAAACTAAGTGTATTTAACTGGAGATAAATATACCTCCACCCTATTCCTAAAGTTTATCTCTGAATCCCAAGGGTGTCATCACATGATGAGCAGAGCAGTGAGGAAGGGCAGTGCGGAGACTGGTGTGGGAGGGAATGGAGGCAGGATATTAATCAGGTGCTCATAAGCACCTGGCAGTGAGAGGGAGTGCTAGGCCTATGCCTGCAACAATCTTAAAGGGAAGCTGGAGAGATGGCTCAGAGGTTAAGAGCACTGGCTGTTATGGCAGAGGACTTGGATTTAATTCCCAGCACCCACGAAGCTAAGAACTCCAGTTCTGATGCCCTTTTCTGGGCTCTGCAAGGCAGCACACATGGCAAACTTACACACATATAGGCAAAACACCTATACATATATAAAGAAAAAATTTTAAGAAGCAATAACTCATTGGATCACAAAACAGAATGAATAGACATGAATGTGAGAGAGATCTATGAGGGGGAGGAATAGGAAGGTGTGGTAGGGAGATGGAGGGTGAGAGTGGTCAGTATGCACTGTGTACATGTGAGAAATTGTCTAATTAAAAAAAAAAAAGTAAAAAGGAAATTTTGGGTGTGTTCATAAAAGAGTTTGAAGTACTGGGAAAACCCTAGTGTAGGAGGGAGGGACTGAATGCGGCAAGATTTCCAAGATGCTAAAGGGACTGAAGCCTAAAGTAAAGGTATCCTTACATTTTTTAGCTTAACATTTAAAAAAAAATTTTAATTATATACATATGTGTGTGTGTGTGTGAGAGTGGTTTTGTGTGAATACAGCACCTGCAGAGGTCAGAAGAGGGCATCTGATTCCATGACGTGGGACTCATAGGCAGTTGTGAGCTGCCTTAATATAGGTGCTCAGGTTCTCTAAAACAGCAGCTAGCACTTTTAACCACTCTGTCATCTTTCCAGCCCTTGTTTTTAGCTTTTAAAATAAAAATTTAAAACATAATTCCAAAGTAGAAAAAGCAATAAAATGATCCCCAAAGTGTCCTATCAGCCTCAACAAATACTAATAGTTGGCTAATTTTGATTCTTCTACATACCCTTAAACACAGTGGACTTTTCAAAGTAAATCTCAGATTTCATAGACAAATTTCACCCTGTTTAAGAAATCTTTTATCCTTCTGAGTTTTGCAGCACAGAGTAAAAAATGCCAAATGCACTACCACACCCAGCACCATTTCATTTATATATAGCTATATCCTAAACTCTATACTTCAGAGGTTACTCAACATTTGAAAGCTAAGTCATCTGGTTTCTTAAACTATACGGTATATACAAATCATATAATGCCTTGCTATTTGTATCTCCATCAATCTCCCAATTGATGCTGATGTTGGTCCTCAAACCATAGTCTGAGTGGCACAGATCTAGAGAGGTTTGGTCACAGGGTTAATTTCACTAGTTTCTTAGTATCTTGGGAGAAGGGTTAAGAGGAGAGCTGAAGCCTTTATAGTAGTATAGTGTGAGATGAAAGATAGGAAACTAAGAGTAAATGTTCCCAGTTTTCCCTATGAGATAGTTCTTGAAGAATGAATTGGGACAAAGAGGAAACTTAAATGACAAATGCATATAAGAATTAAAAATAGATACTATTACCTTTTGTGCCAGGAAGATTATATGCAATAGCCATCTTCTTATGTTGAAATTCTTTTAATTTCACAATACTGTCTGTAAGTAGGTATCTTTTAGCTAAAAATTAAAGAAGTGAAATAATTTTGATTGTTTTATACTTAAATAACCTAAGTAGAGCTTGGTTGCCTCTAATTAACTCATCTTCACCTATTATATTAATAAACGATCCATCTAGATAGGTACAAATAGGATAGTATCCCTTGTGAGAAAATAAACATCCCAACTATCAGAGAATGCAAGTCCTCAGCAGAAGTGTTAGGTTTGAAAATAATTAGTGATGAACCACATATGATAATTGGTTGACAGGAAGCTGGGATCTGAAAGACAAACAGGCATTTGCCATCTGGTTAAGGACTAGCAATGGCACTAAAACAAGCACATATAGGTTTGCTTTATCTTAGGTGAAGCACAGGGGAGTGGAAAAAGCTACGTTTTGACTCCCAGTTTTGTAACTTAGGAAACGGCCTTTCAGATCTGAACTCAGAAACCTTAAATCAGAAATCACTGACCACAGCTTAGAAAGTCCGGGAAAAATATACTCTTTAAAGGATCCTTGGCTGCTCATGAGGTAAAAATAGATGAAGCTTAGCCAAATAAACATGCACTAGGAGTTCTGTGTAATACAATAAAGTAACAATAGAAATAGCTACTTATGAAAAGGGAGTCCTGTGAAGCAGTTAGACTCAGGTCCCTCCGTAGTTGGCTGAGTTCATATAGCTGTGACCTTGCGTGCTTGTTTCCTGTTTTGTGAATGGAGAAAAGGTACCTGTCCTGCTGGATGTTGTCTGGGGGAAAGGATTTCATATATGTAAAATTTCACTAAACAATCCCCTACATACGACGTTAAATGTTCTTATCACTTGGCAGTGTCAAGTAGTTTCCAAAAGACGTTAAGAGATGCTTTTGAGTGAGCAAGTTTGCTCAAGGTTTTTTAGGATGTAAGCCGCACAGCTTGAACGTCAATCTCTTACACTCAAACCTACGCACCCAAACACAGCGGAAAACGGAGGAACGTTCTCGTGGAGCAGCGTGGGCCGCAGAGGCCGTTTGCTTTTCCCGCATGGTCCTCGACCCCCAGAGAACACACGCGCAGGTCAAAGCGCACCGGCTCCAAGGAGGGCCGCCGGCTGGGGTCTAACGGTCCCTTCTCCATCCCGCCCCTCTTTCCACAGCCTGAGGTTGCAGATACCTCCGACGGGGAAGCAACAGCAGGTGGAGCCAGAGCCAGTGCGCCCCGCATACACCGCAGGCCACTGCGCCCTCAGCCGAACTCGTTCCAAGGCCCGACGCGTTGTAGCCATATTGTCCCGGGCCGCACCAACTGCGGGATCCGGAGAGGGGAGACGCCGCGACCGCTTGCAGCCCACAGCGCCCAAGAGGATCGGTCCACTTCCGGCGGGGGCCCTCTGGGCCCGCCCCTCGAGGCCTGGTCCCCCTGCGTCGGCGTTCCTCTTGGTACGTTCCAAGATGGCGGCCCCCATGGTACGGTGTGGAGTGCTTCTGGCTCACAGACTTTCTGCGCCTCCGCGTTTTCCGGCAGGTTGGTGGCTGCTGCATTGGAGGAGCTGCTCCGTTAGGGCCCCTCATTACTCGGTTCATTGAATGAAGGGAGCGATGGGCTTTCAAAGAGACCAAGTGCCTCTGAGCTCCGGTTGCTAGAGAAGCCGTTTAGGGTAGTTGGTAGCATAGAAAGGAGTAAGGTCTCCGACCCGTCTTCTTCCTTTAAATGATAGTGTCTCCTGGTCCGAAAATATGAAAAGTAGAAAGCCTATGGCATGAGGGATTGTGTATGTCTTGCCAGTTGAGTGTATTACGGTGGTAGTCTGTTTTTGCAGACCATAAAAGCCCGAGTATGTTCTCCCCTGTGGCTAGTGGTGGACAGGCTTCTTCCTCCTGAAGTTTCTTTGGAGGGGCATCAGGCATCACCACTTCATACGTGGTCCACCAGACACCTAATGTTCTTCACTTCATGGAAGAATTTTTCACTGCTAACCTAACTTCACATGATGACCTTGGCCTCAACTCATCGTTGACCTTTCTTTTTTATAATTTCCACGTGTAGACAAACAAGTAGTTGTAGCGCACTTTAACGTCTGAGTGGGATGGTACCCCACTCAAAGCCTTCTTAATGGATCTGATGATGAAAACTTTGAGGGGAAGTTTTAAAGTATTTTTTTTTTTTAAAAAGCGAAGTTTGCGATGGTTTCAACCTAATAATTCTGAGAAATGTGCCTGATTATATGATTAAAGTGCAATAATGACATTTGATGTTTGCAATGCTTGTCTCCTTTTCAGTCAGCCTCCCTTAGTGACGATTTAAAAACGCAGCACACATTTGCTCACACTTCAGGTACAGCCATTACATATCAACCCAGAACTGTATAGTTGACCACGAGAGTTTTCTGAAGATTAAATGGTTAAACTATCCTGGTAAAAAATGTTTTATACCATACATTTGTCAAATTGGCATGCACAATGCTTAGCAGCTCACTAAAAATGATCTCTAGAGCAACTATTAGTGTATTTAATTGCTAGTAAATTCTTTGCAATCTAGTAAGACCCTGGACAGTAGATAAAGGAGAGTATGTTGGTTATTTATATTTGGAACGTCGGTTCTAAGGAGGGGATAGGTATTACATGGGGGGAGTTGAGAGAACTAATTAATAGTTTAGTTTCAGTCAGAACTGGTGAACTTCTGGCAGGTTACACCTCTATTATTCCAATATGGTAGTTACTTATACATGTAGCTATTTAAATTTAAGTTAAAGATAATTATAAAGGTAAAAATTAAGTTTCTTAGTAACTAGCTTTTTTGAGTTTCATTTAACCTGGAGTTCACCAATTCAGCATTGAGCCAGGGATCGATCTATCTAGACTGCTCCCAGAACCACCATATCTCCTACAACCCTGGAGTTACAGGCACAGGCCACCTGCCCAGCTTTTTACATGGTTGCCGGGAGATCAGAACTCAGATCTTTATGCTTGTGTGGCAAGTTCTTTACAGACTGAGACAGCTCCCCAGTCTAATGAACATCTCATTTTAAAAGACACAAAATAGAGTATCTTTCTTGACACATAATTTTCCTGTTTCTGCTGTAGCAAATTAATACAAACTTGGTGGCTAAAAATAACACAGATTTATTTTATATTTCAGGGCCCCAAAAATCTGACACTCAATCTTGCTGTGCTAAAATCAAAGTGTCTGAAGGGATGTGCTGCTTTCTGGATTCCTTGGAGAATCCATTTCTCCGTCTCTACCATATTCCAGAGACCACTCACATTTCTTGGGTCATAGTTTTCATTCTTCATCTTCAAGGTGATATTGGCCAGTAAAGGTGTCACATCACTCCATCCTTTACGCATCACCCTGACCTAAAGATTGTCTCCTATTTTTAAGGACACGTGATTACATTGGACCTCCTGTGTAATAAAGGATGATCTCCTATGTTAAGATCAATTGATTAACACTCTGAATTCCATCTGCAACCTTAATTCTCCTCTGCTATGCAATCTACTATATTTACAGGTTCTAGGGATTAAGATTTGTACATCTTTGGGAGCCGTTATTGTATTTGCCAGTTTTAAATTCTTTATCCTTAAACTGTTTCCTTTATGAATGAATAGAGAAGGAGAGTGATTACCATAGCTTAATTTTAATACAAATAATTTAAAAACAAGCATAAAAGCTGGGCTTGGGACTCCTGAGAGGGCTCAGCAGGTGACCTTACAACCTTTCTGAATCCAGTTTCCGGAACCCACATGGTGGAAGGATAGAAAGCTCTGCTATAAGTTGTCCTCGACCTCCAAAAAGCTGGGCTTACCTTTAAAAAAAAATGTATTTGTCCTTGTTTATATTATTTTCATCTTGACTGGCCAGTGCTTGCCTTAAAAATGAAAGGATCATGACCCATCAAATGTGAGTGCTCTCTAGGATACGGAAAAAGCAGAGAAATGAGGATACGGAAAAAGCAGAGAAATGAATTCAGTTCATATTCCTTTGGAAACTGCACCCAGATGACATTCTGAGAGTCCTGTTTTTCCCTGTAATAACCTTCCATCCCCCGTCTTTTACCTCCAAGTTGGAAACTTGTGAGCACTGATCTAAATATTATCTTTTCTTGAATATAGAAGGTGATTTCTTATGATAGAAGGAAGCACATGTTAGACGGAAGACAGGAACTAAGGAAGACCTAGTAACAAATGTAGACAATGAGTAAGTTGCTGCCGTGCTAGAGTCTGCAGCTTACCAGCTTTTTCATCTCATGGTCATGTAGAGAAGGGCTTCCAGTGTTTCCTCTAGAGATGAGGTCTTCCTGGCTTTAGAAATTGCAATTCAGTTTGCACAGCAATGCTGCTATAAGTTGTGACTCAGTTACCTGAATTGACGCTTTTGATCCTGTGTCAGTCACCTAGAGCATGCAGGTCTTTCCTTACCTGTCACCTAGATTAGCTTCTTGTGTGACTGCATGATCTGAAAACTTCAGAGAGCTGATAAAACTCCAAGTTCCAGCTGGTTGTAATGGTATACACTTTTAATCCCAGTACTTAGGAGGCTGAGACAGGCAGATCTTTGAGAGTGAGTTCGAGGTCAGCGTGGTCTACATAGTGAGTTCCAGGCCAGCTGGGGCTACAGGGAGACCCTGTCTCAAAAAGACCAAACCAAACAAAACCCAAGTTCCGTCCTTCTTCTTCCTACTGTTGTTTATTTCTATACCTAGCATAAGGCCATCAGCCCTTTACTTATCTTTTTTAGTAAGTTTGTGAGTAAAATTAGTAATTTACAATGTTGTCTTTTTTTGGAAAAATATTTTATTTTCTAAACATCTGATAGTTTTGTACAATTATAATCCATTTGACATGTGGACATTCAGATAGTTACAACTTTTTTAGGATGTGTTAGTTTCCTCTTTGAAACACTTTATAGGGAAGTTTTTCTAATGGTCCTATTGATGTTTAAGTTTTAGAACTCAAATTTAGATACACTGTTCTAGTAAAAATCTGATCTGTGCTTAATTGAGGTAAGAGAGTTGGATTGCATGCAAATGCACATAGATATATCTATTTAGTGTCATTGGTGGATAGATGAGTATCCTTGCGGTGTTCTGACATTTATTCAGTCCTCATGACTTCTAACCAACAAAGGCGTGGCTTGTGGGCTCTTAGGACCTCTGGGTACCTGTCCTTCATTTAGTCATTATTTTGGAGTTTTTCTTTTTCTTGAGGTATAATTCACATACCATACAATTCACTCATTGAAAGTATGCAGTTCTGTGACTTTTTTCTGGAAAGAGGAAATCATGCAGGCATCTTTACAACCAATTTTAGGACATTTTAATCACACCCAAAAGAAACCCCATATTCATTCTCAGTCACTCTCCATTTCCTGCAGGCTACCCAATCCCCATTCCCAGGCCCAGGCAACCAATAATCAACTTTCTGTCTCTAGACTTGCCTCTTCTGGTATTTCATGTAAGTGGAATTATGAGAACTTTTGCAACTGATATATTTTTCATTTAACATAATCTCTTCATTTTTTTCACTTACCAAATAATGTTCTATTATAAAGATTTACCAAATCTCGGTATACAACTGGTGGATATTTGGGTGATTTCTACTTTTAATCATTATTATGACATTGCCATGAACATTGTGTATCAATTCGGTGTGAATGCATGTTTTCATTTTTCTTGTGTCTACTGAGGAGTGGAATTGCTAGGTCATATAACTGTGATAACATTCTGAGGGGCTGTGTGTTTTTCAAAGCAGCTGCACCAGCAGTACATGAGTTCTAGTTTCTCTGAGTCTTCCCTCATAGCCTTCATGTTCTGCTTTCTGATTATAGTCTTCAGAGTGGGTTTGAAGTGCTTATCTCCACGTGACTTTGCTTTGTATTTCCTTATTGACCAGTCATGCTAAGGATCTTTGCATGTTCCTACTAGCTATGTTTGTGTGCATAAATGTGTATACGTAAGTATCTAGCTGTCTGTAGTCCCAGGTTCTGCATCTTGTTTTCAACCAACCACAAATAGAAGATACTTTTTAAGAATTGCATCTGGGAACTAGAGATATAGCTTAGTGGTTGAGAGGACTTACTGCTTTTGCAAAGGACCAGAGTTTAGTTCCCAGCACCACATTGGCTGAGTCACAACCACCTGTAACTCCAGCTCCAGGAGATCCAATATCCCCTTCTAGCCTCCATGGGCACTTCACTCACATGCACTCAAATGTGTGCGCACACGCACACAAAGTAAAAATCCTTTAAAAATTGCACCTGCACTAAACATACAGTTATCTTTTTGTCATTGTTCCCCAAATAATATAATAAAAGCTACACAGTTGTTTTCATTGAATTAAGTATGATGAGTAACGTAGACGTAATTAAAATTTTGAGAGGATGTGCCTCAGTTATATTTGAATTTTCTCCCATCTTTTTATGTAAGGGATTTGGGCATTGGAAGATATTTTATGTGTGTGCCCATGGGAAATCCTGAAACCAATTCCTCAAAGACACAGAGGAAAGACTTTGAACTTACATGTGCGTGCGTGCGTGCGTGCATGCACCTGTCTGTCTGTGTTTTCTTTTTTTGTGGTACTGGGAATTCATAGGGCCTTACATATGCTAGGTTTGCACTCTACCACTAAGCTGTATCCCTAGTCCTTTTTTTAACTTTCTATTAAGAGTCTCATGATCTATTGACTGATCTAGCTAGCCAAGCGCCTTGTACTTTCTGTTACACTTTTTTTGTGTGTGTTTATTTACTTTGTGTGTGGGGGGGTCACATGAGTGCCATGGCACATGTATGAAAGCCAGAGGACAACCTATAGGAATCAGCTCTCTCCTTCCACCATGTGAGGCCAGGGATTAAACTCAGGCCTGGTAGCAAATGCCTTAACTCACTGAGCCATCTCACTGGCCTTGTACTTTCTGTTTTGAGATATGGTGTCACTAAGTTGCTCCACCTGACCTCAGACTCCCTCTGTAGCCCTTGCACACCTTGAACTTATGATCCTTCTGCTTCAGCCTCCTGAGTAGCTGGGCTCACAGGCCTGTGCCACCAAGTCCAGCATATTTTTCCCCTTCTGTGAGAAATGTGTGCTCAGATCTTTTGCCCATCTTTCAATTGAATCATTTTGTATTAATGAAGTTGTGAGAGTTATTTTATATCTTCTTGGCACAAGTCCCTTATTAGAGAAATGATTTATAAATATTTTTCCCATGCTGTAGGTTATTCTTTCACTTTCCTGAGTGCCCCTTCAAGTACAGAAGGTTTTAATTTTGAAGATTGCCATCAGTTCCTTCTCATTTATTCCTGATGTTCATGTTTATGGAACACTGCATATGCCAAGCATTGTGCCAACCACTGGGAATCCAGCTTCACTACCTGTTTTTTTGTTTCAAATTGAGCTTTTTAAGTTTCTCTTAGCTACCAGTGGCATGCTGGGTCACTTGGTATAATATTTCTCTTTGCTTTATGCGAAATAATGGTAAATTTGTTGATCCAAGTCAAATGGAAGTGTTTTCAGGTCTAGTAACTAACCATTCAATTAATAGGTTTGGGGGCCTATGAAGGAGTTCTAGGAACCTGGACATGATTTAGTGGCAATGAATGACTCCTAACCCTAACATTAAAAAAATAAAACTGACAGCATTTTTACTCATAAAATCATTGTGTCATTTTTCAGATCTTTCCGTACCTTCTATTTGTCAGAGTTGAGCGTATATTCTTATGAACTGAATTATGAACTCTGTAGTATTGGTTACAGTATCATCTTATAACTTCTAAAATGTGTAATCTAGTGGTTGAAAATGTGACAAAGATAATGTTTAATGGCCAGATAAATAAAAGGAAATCGTTGTGAAATGTGCCTATTGAGATTATTCTTTTTCCTCAGGGAAGAGATGCCTGCTTTCTGCAGCATATGTGGACAGTCACAAGTGGGAAGCAAGAGAAAGAGAGCGTTGCCACCTGGGTAGGTGTTGCCTGTCGGGTATTTCGTCTGTCATTTGCAGTCGCTCTGCTTTGTGTCTCCCAGCATGTGAGCACATGATGTATAAACTGAAAGAGACTTTACCGTGATTCATTTCACATAAGTACATTTTAAGTCTTAAAAAGAATTAGGCTTACGTGAGGCAAAATTGATTTTGCTGTCCCCTATATTCCTAATACTTTATTTTGTCTTGATGATTATTCTGAAGTTATATAGACAGTTCTTTCCTGCCTTTTGTTTATTTTATCATGTAGTTTTCATGTAGCCTGTCTCTGTTTTACAGATTTTTATACTGTATGCTCTTTTAATTTTGTATCCCTGGCTGGCCTGGAATTTGCAATGTAGACCAGGCTGGCCTCGAACTCACAGTGATCCTCCTGTCTCTACTTCCCAAGTGCTGGAATCAAGGTGTGCACCAACATGCCCAGCTTTTTAACTCCTTTTTGATTCTTCTCATTTTCATTACCAAGTGAGAGATTTGAAAGCAAAGTTATAATCTCATGTTAGACATTTGGAGAAGATAGTTGGCGAACATCTTCCAGCATTAAGCTCATAGTTATCCTTGCTTTCCCCTGTTCCCTGTTTAATATTTCATAGATAGCAGCCTTTCTTATATAAAGTACCAGTACCTAAAAGAAGTCACCGACCCTATGAGCATTTTTTACAGATGTATGTACTACAGACTTTTGGCTGTCTTTCAGCATATATCACATCATCAAGATGTTGGCAAAGTGAATAGATTGGTGATAGTTTTATGAGACTGATGTAACATTTGAATGAATACCAGTGCTGATCTAATAGTCTTCCTCCAGATTTCTTTCACTATTTCTTTATACTTATATTAGATAAGAACAGTCCTCCTTTGTTAGGATTCTTCTTGAAAGTGTGGGGACATACCTGTCACTTGGCTGGCAGCTCTGGAATGGGTGTGTGGACAGGGCTGGCCAGAGCAGAGCAGAGCGATGCAAGATCTAAAAGTGAGTGAGTAATTGTAGCCCCTCCATAGGGAACTTGCAGTCTGATTCTCAATAAGAGATCTGGTACAGCTTTTTAAATCAGTACTTTTTAATAGTCTTACTATCTTGAAATTAAAAGATAACATACTCTTTCTATACATAATATTTTAAAATCTGAATGATTACCATGCTATAAAGAAAGATAAAATAGTAACTTGCAATATAATACTCTATCAAAATGTAAAGAAATATTTAGACTACATTAAAAGCGCTCAGGTCTCAACATACTCCCATTCTTAATGTAGGCTCACCCGCATAAAAGACAGTGCACATAGGTACAGAAATCTACCAGGAGTGACCTTATAATGACAATTTCATTTACAAAATGAACAATTCTTGGTAAAGCTCTGAATGACTCAAAGGTCTGTCTTCAGTCAATTTGCATTGAAGTTGTACTAATGGAAAATTCAGCTTGTTTTTAATTATGAAAAAAGTACTTTGTGTTTATATGTAAAATGGAGTGGAAATTAATTAGAAACAGGTGTTTTTATAGTGCCAATGTCCATGCTACAGATGGTATAATATGTGAGGTAAAAATTTAAACTTAATTTGGAATTAATTTTATTTACTCTTTTGTGTGTGTGTGTGTGTGTGTGTGTGTGTGTGTGTGTGTGTAGTGTGTATACACATGAGTGTGTGGAGGTGTGCATATCCATGTGCAGACACATGAGGAGGACATAAGGTATCTGACTGTATCATGCTCTATCTTATTCTCTTGAGACAGGGTATCTCACAGAACTTGAAGGTGGGCTAGCAGCCAACGAGCTCAAGCAATCCTTTTGTCTCTGCCCCCAACAGTGCTGGGGTTATAGGCATGTACCCAGCCATGCCAGGCTTTTTACGTAGGTGTTGGGGATTCGAACTTGAGTCCTCATGCTTCTGCAGCAAGTGTTCTTACTTACTGAGCTATCTCCCCAGCTCCTGGAAGTAATTTTCAACTTACAGAAATTTGTACAGTTCCTAACCACCCTTTGTCCATATTTTTATTTTTGCTTTTTAATTCATACGAATGAATGAATGAATGACAGGGCCACAACCGTGTGTGTGTGTGTGTGTGTGTGTGTGTGTGTGTGTGTATGAAAGAGAGAAAGATGTGCACATATCATTTTTTAACTGAGAGCTTGTTTCATACATTATAGCCATCTATCCTGTGTTCTCCAGCATGCCCCCTAACATATTATATACCTTAACACATTATCAAATTCAATGATAAATACTTTTTCCTGTCTTTGTTTTGCCATTTGATCCCAAATGTCCTTTATTACATTTTTTCTCCTCCAATACAGGATCCATTCTAGGTTCAAATTGCATTTAAATCAAGATTTCATTAATTTGAAATTATTTATGACTTTTCTTACCTTTCCTCATGATTAGATTCATGTTTTGTTTCTACTCTCTGACATTGTGACCCTGTCAGTGTCTTGTGGACATGGCTGACTTCTGGATACTTCCACTGGCAATGTCAGCTTGGATCTCTTGGGCACACGGGTCCGATTATTCTCCACCGTAAAGTTGACTGGTTGTCTTCCTCTTGACTAGGAGACTACAAGTCATAGACATTAATATAATGTAGATATTCTGCTGCTTCTCAAGTTTCCTCTTAGATTTCTTACCCATTCATGCTGGTCTAAGTCAGTCTATACTGTGATGCTTGCAAAGTGATGATTTTCCAACTCCAGTCCCTTCGTATTTACTGGTGAGCACCCAGTGTATAACAACAGACCTTCCTTTTCTGTTTCTTCTCATTTATTTCTTTAAGGTCATACATTATGTTGACATCTAGTTGATTTGTAAGATTTCTTTTTAATGGTTTATTACCATTATTAATTATTTGGAGATCTAGTGGTCCCAACTTGGCTGGCTAGTACATATGCTTTCAAGCTAGCTTCCATATTCTCTTTCTCATAACTTGCTTACTTTCTCACTTAATAATGCATCACAAGCTTATCTTGTACTTTTTTTGTTTAACCCTGGACTCGGCCCCCTTCTCAGGAGCTCTCATTCCTTTTAGTTGGGAATGCTATTAGAAGCCAAGATCTGGGTATTTGATGTCTTTTTGATTCTTGTCCCAGAAATAATGAGTTTATACCAATACCTCCAGTACCCATTCATCTCCGTGGAGTTTTCCCTGGTCTTGCTGTGGTCTGTATTTGAATTTCGCTTTTTGGCTCACAACAAAGGCAATGTTTTGATGTGGGGAGTCACAGCATTACATATTTATGCAATTTCTCTGTCTTCTGTCCAAAAAATACCAGCTATGCTTTCCGGTCATTGTGAAAGTCCGTAACCCCCCCTGCCATACACCCATATGTTAAAACACCTTCTGAATTCAATAATACTCCCTTTAGGAACCACTGTTGTATCGCTGATTCCAGCACAGCTTCAAAAGAATTATATAACAAAGATCATTCTGGTGTGCCATATATGAATTATGAACAGTGGTATGGAACTGCAAATAAGGGAATGATGAATTCTGGGAAACCTTATTGTTAACATTTCCCTAGGAATGGAGGAAAAATGAGATGAGGACACTGTACTTGGTATCTTGCTGTTAGGTACAGTTAGTTCTGTTATTTGGACACAAATCCAGGGAACTTTGTCCTAGTTACCTGAGTAAACAGAAGCTCTTAGCCCAAGAATGAGAATAGTAACCTGCAACACATCAGTGTCACCAGGAGGCAGTTGACTCCTCCCTGTTCAGACCAGCCTGTGGAAAACAGTGTGAGCTACCATTTCCTGAATGCCTCTCAGCCCTTGCTGCCCCTCTGCCTCCAGTACCTTGGCACATCCTGGATCCCTGTCCAGTCAGAACTGCTTTCTCCTGCTCCATTTAGCCCACGTGATGTAGAGTGTGCACTTTGTGTCCTGCTTTCTGCTTTTACCTTCTGTGGCTGTAGCTGTAAATTAGAGATGCTGGTGATGTCTGCCTTACTGCCTGACATTCACCCCAGAAATAATGTGGAATGAATGAGTCCCTTGCATTTGCCCCATATATAATGTTTGATGTGAAATAAGATTTTGGAATTCAGGGGTCTGGAGAAATGGCTCAGCGGGTAAGAACACTGGTTGTTCTTGCAGGAGACCCGGGTTTGAAGACCCAGCACCCACAGGCAGCTAACAGCTGTCTGTAACTCCAGTTCCAGGGGATCTGATAGCCTCTTCTGTCCTCCACAGGCATTGCACGACATGGGCACACTTACCTACATGCAGGCAATTACACGCATACACATAAAATAAAAATAATTAAAATATTTTTTAAAAAAGATTCTGGAATTTAGATGGCTTGGAAGAATAAGAGGCCTTTGGAGACAGCGTTTTCCACTGTGTAACGGAAAGCAATGCTACTGCCTCTCATTCAAACAGCCCTTGGTCCTCTGTGTGATATGACCAAGCTAATTTTTGAGTGTTTGGGTTGAGATCTGACTGAACAGTGAGGCTGTTGGTTGAGTAGTTGGAACATGATTGTGGCTGCATCCCCGTAGGCTGGGCAGTAGATGGCAGTGTAACTCTTAAAACAGACATTTCGCATTGGCCACCGGTTTTGCTACTGAGCCTGCCAGGAAGCTTGCACGCCTGCGCAGGGCCTTGCTCTCATGTGGAGCTCTGTAATTGGACATTGAAAGCTGGAGGGCCTGAGGTGCTTGGGTTGAGGGCCCACTGATTGGAGGATCAAGGAGGACCGATTTGAGGCATTTGCTCCTGCAGTCCCTATTGGAGAGAACCACAGAGCTGCTCGGCATCCTCGGGCACCTCTGTTAGAGTGGTACCACCCTGCCGCCCTTCTGTGTAGGTCTTTGGGAAGGCTGTGTTAGTGATGGCCGGGGTCCCTGTGCGTTAACATGCTGGCTTTCTCATTTCTTAAATGCTTTATAGCATTGCATTGTGCATACTGAAACACGCACACATCGTACTGCACAGGACTTACCCCAGTGTGAGTGAACCTGTGTAGGAGATGGAGCACCCGCA